AATAATACAGAGTAAAGCAAGTTTTCTGAGAATACCTATCTTATTGCTATTGAATAATGTATACATTTTATGAAAATTTGGTCTTGTATAAAAATATGGCTTTAAATGTTTAACTCTTGCATTTACAAAGTACGAACAAATAAATTAATAATGAAATTCATCGCCAATGTCATTACCATTACAAAGTTTACATAATCTATCACGTTTTTGAATATTGCTCCAATGGCCTGTTTCAATCGGTAAGTTATCATTTGCTGTTTTATAACGTAACACTGCCCTTGAACACTTATCCTTTAAAATATACAAATATTTACTTAACCTTAAATCTGAGTTTGATAAGGAGTTATAAGATACCTTTTGATGAATGTTCTACCGTAGATAACCACACTTGCTTATACGCATCTTCTAGTTTACATCTAACTGTATTTTTTAGTTTATTAAGGTTTTCAAAATTTGGGAATTCCAGATATAACTAAGTCCAATTTTGTCAAACGTATGTTTAATATTCATTATCCATTTATGCTTACTCTTTCCAAAATGCGTGTCGTTAAAAGGTAATTTAAAGATAAGTAAGGATAATTTGGAAGAATTACCTGTTAAAAGTCGACCCCAAAACGAGGTGAGGTAAGGAGAAATTGGGCTTAAAGTCGTGCTGGTGAATATTTTGCTCATATGACGACGTGCATGCGTGTGTATGTGTAGGTGCGATTGCTTGTACTAGCCCAGACTAAGCTGGTTTTATAGTGCTAGCCCACTGAGATACCATGCCGCAGTGAAGCATGAATACCCTACTCAGACACATTATACTGACTCCGAGCCGACCAGTCCTTGTTGTACCCATTAATGCCGAGCTCCAGGCAGGGACCAACAAGTACCAAGTTTTAAAGTCTTTTGGTATGACACGGTCGGGGATTGGAACCCGCCACCTTCCGCTTTCCGGGCGGACGCTCTAACCACTACACCACGGAGGCGGTAGACCCCAAAACGAAAAAATTCTCAACTTCACATCAATTGCAAGTGGGTATCTACCAAACTCCCCATACAACATAACGTTTGGGGTGATTTTTCTTAACAGTGCTAATTGTTTACAAAAGTTTAAATGTACTTTTTCCAATAATGATGTATTTTCAAATCCCCAAACCTCACAACCATATAGAAGAATCGGCAACACCATGGAATCAAATAGACGTAATTGTAATTCGTATGTTAGATGCAGTTTCCGACCTTTGCTAAGAATAAAAAACATTGCTTTTGTGGCTTTTTCAACAGCTGTTCCTTTTATTACTGTAAATCTTCTGCTGTTTTTGAAAACTACGCCCAAATATGTGTATTTTTTAACATTGTCCAGAACGTTATTTCCAATTTTAAATGGGATTTTGTGATCTTTCTTTGAACAGCCAAATATTAAAACTTTTGTTTTAGCAATATTGACATTAAGTTTCCATGTGGAACAATAGGCATGAAAGAATCCAACATTTGCTGAAGATCGTTGGGGTTTGAAGCCAAGAGAACGGCATCATCTGCATATGATAATACAAACATTTTGATATCTTCTAACCTATCATTGAAATCTACAGGTTTAAGCTCCACACCTTTACAGAAATCTTTATCAAAAGACATTTCAGTATCATTCATAAAAATAGCAAATAATGTGGGTGATAAATTCTCTCCTTGGCGTACACCAGATCGACAGGGAAAAAGTCCGTAAAACCATCTTTACATAATATACAAGATTTTATATTTCTATACATGTTGTGTATAACTCAAAAACATTTACCAGAAATTTTATTTGCCAGAAGTTTTTGCCAAAGTCCCACGTGCCAAACATTATCAAAGGCTTATTGGAAATCCAGAAATGCACAGTATAGTTTCTTTTTTTGGCATTTTAGAAGTTCTGAAAGGTTAAACAATGTGAAGATGTTATCGATTGTAGAATAACCTTTTCTAAAGCCGGCCTGAGCCTCTGATAAAATATCATTATCCGACAAGGCCGGACATTCGGTGTTGCCCTCTCAAACAAGCCCAGTCATTAGTGACATATTGTACCAAAATACCAAAACATTCTGAAAATCTTTTCTGATGATTCCATCACAATCAACACACAGCCAGACCTTTACAAGGTAAACCTATTTGAAGCTTCTCCTGTTTAGCTGCCAGAAATTCATTCATGTTCCTGAAGGACACCACCTATGAGGTCCAGCTTCTCCAGGGGCCCGTTTCACAAAGCCCTCTTACCGGTACAACCTCATAAAGCAGGTCGTAGACCACCTCTTACTTTTTTACCCTGTTTCACAAAGGCCTCGTATATTTACACTGTGCCGTAAACAGCCCAAAATTTAGGACCCCGATTGACCTGTCGTAAATGCTTTAGGAGGTCGTAAACACTACAAAGATGGCATCAACGATTATGGCACTGCAAGTGATTAAAACAGGCTAACAAAGAAAACCTGAGAAATTTTGAGACAGGTGGAACGTGCTCGACACTCATGTTGTTTTCTAACTGTGCAGAAAGTTAGAGCCCCAACTGAACAAACCTACAAGGCGTTCACATGCTATTCCGACCTCCCTACAAGTGTTGTGTACACAGAGGTATTTGGCAAAAGGGGTTTTCCTCAGTGAAATCGGGGATCTCCATGGAGTATCCCAAGCTAGTGTGTTAAGAATACTCTGTGACACCGCTAGTGTTCGCGTGTATCTGGACTTGATTAAAAAAACCTAGGTGCTCCTTCCTCTTCAACCCTCACTTTGAAGTCCAATAAAATGCTAAATATATCACGCACACAAATATACTTCACAGTTTTGTATTCTGCGGGAAATTCCCTGTTTCTTGATACCATCCACTAAAATCTCAGACAAAGCTAAAGTGCTTAAATAACTTTTCAAACTAGGCTTCATCGTAAATGTCACCATTTTATACACAATACAAAATCACGATTCACAGCATTATTTGTTGTACAGTGTAGACAGTATGTTTTCAAATATGAAAATCGGATAATTACTGGGAGTACTGAATTTCAAAAATAACATATTAATGATAACTGAAATCAGTTTTTCATGATACCACTAATGATAATCTGAAACGCTGCCGATGAACCTAGAATCGGTTTGGATGTTTTCGAAAATATACTTACACGAACGCCGACGCGCGCTTTCCGCCATATTGGATAGTGTTTACAAAATCACATCTCATAAAGGCCGGTATTGAGAGGCCTATTACATCACGTATATTTCATAGTCAGCTGCGACAAATGCATCACTGAATTCCCCATACATTTTAAAATCAAATCACAGTTGGTCTTTGTTACCAATACCAACTGGATATTGGGTGTGAAAACAAACGCTGTGCTCGGAAGACTGCGCTACTGTAGTTTGAAATGTAAACAAAGAAAAAATCCGATTTATACTGCGTAGCAGCCGGCTATTCATTGCTTGCAATGGCTCAATACTTTAGAATATGTATGGAAAGAGTTTCATAGCAAGAAAGAGGAAATTAAAAATAGATACAATGCAATGATTTGATACTTCATAAGAAATTGTCAAAGTTTCCGTGCAGCGTGACAGACTTAAAATCACACAGAACGACAACTGTAATTATCAGCATTTCTGGCTTCTTCTATTACTAACAAAGAAAACATATAACAATACACAGATAGTCAGAGTCACTCTGAATACTTACATTTCATATTTATGTACAGACGATCCCTGAAGCAAGGGAAGAGTCCTCGCAAAATCCTGTGTACCCTTGTCAGCGAAGCCGCCATTTTGTAAGAAATCGGTCATCGGTTGTGATGTCACACATCAACATTGTTGTAGTACTACATATTAGGCAATATCTTTGAGGTGAAGGTCGGATGAAAAAAAAGTAAACACAATCGTCCTATCCTTCTGATTACACTTTCAGTACTATGATGTATATTTTGCGTATCATTCAGATATTTTTTTTCATGAAACCAATTTCAGTAGATTCTACCAGGGATACTCTACAACATAGTCTCCCTGATTCTACCTACATTTAGCCTTGTTCAATATCACATCATACATGGATATAGGGTATACGTTTTTATTCTTTGAAAGTTTTTGATTGTTTGAATAAAAGTTACAAAAGAAATTGACACATTTAGAGTATCACACCATATTTTAAACCTTTACACAAGTGTTAGTAGATCAAGCGTAGCCATAACTGCAACATTGACTTTAGGTCCTATAGTGTGCAATATTCAATAGATCGGGACTAATATTGCAGTTTCATATGAACAAGTTAATGGACAGCGATTTAATTCAAACCTTAGAAGTAAAACTGATAATATTAATGGAAATTATTTATACATTTTATCTTGTAATCTTCAATAGAATTTAGTGAGAGAATCCAAAATAATTCATTTATTGATATTTCTTTACGATAAGATAACCTGTACATTGAATTAAAAACATAACATTTGCATTGTTATTCAAACTATTTCTATTTTGAAATACTTTGGGAATAACAAGATAAGCAGGTGCCCATTCGGTCTCGCTTTATGCGTTGCTATGCAACAAAGTACCTCTTATACAATGTACGACATGGATATGACGTCTTTGTAAAACGGTCGTAAAGGAGGTCGGAAGAGGGTCGTAAACAAGGTCGTAGGGGATACGACCTCCTAAATTTAGGAGGCTTTTGTGAAACGCGGGCCTGGATAGCTGCGTGAAACTGAAGGTTCTGCCAGTTTACACATGCCATACGGGTACACAAAATCTGATCAAGACAACCAGTTATCCAACTTCCGTTTTAGAAGAAGCAACAGTAGCCAGGTGGGTCAGATCCCTGGCTTTGTGTGTAGGCGATTAGGTGCCTCATCCTGACAGTGTAGGTTCAAACCCCAAATATGGCTCAACTCCAAAAGGTACTAGAATCTGTCGTTTACTGAGAATGTGAAATACCAGATATAACTTAAGTTACATCCAAATGCATGCCTAGAACAAATGGATTTTGGCTTGATAAGTTCAACACAACTAACACATAAATATATCTCACTTTTATTTTGTTTCTTTACAGGCCTTGATTACAGGTATAAAATCAACAGCAGACTGTCACAGTCTAGTAGCAGTGTGGCATATCAGCATAACAGACTCAAACACTTGATAACAGAGAATGGATGAAGACAAATTAGTGATAGTTTCTTGCAATATTTATTTTATCAAAGGGCTGTGAAATCTTATGTTTTTTATCCATCTATATATCTCACTCAATTCCTGACCCTAAACACATAAAGTAATGTTCGGGTAAATCAGTGAGACAAAATATACTCCAATTATACAATAAATAAGAATAACTGTAACTCTTAAACTTTCCTTATTTCAAAAATGTAGGTATATGTGTATCATTTTCCATGTGTAACAGTATTAAGTTCAGCTAGGTTTGAAACTTGAAAAGTTAGTTACACTAATTCATTGAATGGCATTCTAGAAGTTGGGAAGTACAATAATGACAAATTCTAGTTATAACAACTTATTTTTTACTAAGCGTAAGTGTGATGTTTCCATACATAATCTTGTTCAATTCAATGCCACCTCCTTTTATCATGTTACATTCCAGACTGGAGTGCTTGGCAATGGTTCAAGAACCTGTATCGAAATGTCACTCTTATGAAATTCATCAATTTGTTATCCTTACAATTTGTCATTATTTCAAACCACCTTGAATAAGATTGTCTATGTTCATTCATCGTTCACAAAAATTTTAAACATGAGTCACATAAATTTGACAACACATGGTTAAACACATTCATTTCCTTCCCTCTTAAATAAACCATAATGATATGATGTGACTGTAAATGCCAACACATATTATGCTAGTAAAACAACACAAAATCCTACATGTTAATTACAACCCATACATGTTAAGTCCTATGTCCTAATATAAATGCATCATTTTATAAAGTCATCTATTGATTCTTTATCAGCTTCTTTTCATACATTATCACATTATATACTTAACTCAATTCTTATGCAGAACATGTAAATACTGTCAATCATGAAATTAATGCAACACCCAAATAATGGGAATCTTAACCCCTAGCCTAAATGTTTCATGAAATTAATGCAATTAACTGTGCCTCAGTTACAAAAACTAATCAGGAAATGATAACACCAACTTCACCTGTCAACATGAAATCAACAACAGATTACTAACCTCATATTCAAATCACATTGGTCAGGTCACCGACAAAGATAAAACAGATTCAAGCTATTGTTACAAATGTTGCCGAAATCCGTGTGAATGAGATTTGTGTATTCACCATTACAGCTTTTGCTTAACCAGAAATGTTCACTGTGTAGGTGAGCAGTGTTTTGCTTGCAATTAAAGTGAGTGAGTATGGTTTTACGCCGCTTTTAGCAATATTCCAGCAATATCACAGCAGGGACACCAGATATGGGCTTCACACATTGTGCCCATGTGGGGAATAGAACCCTGATCTTCGGTGTGACAAGCGAACACTGTAACCACTAGGCTACCCCACTGCCCTGCTTGCAATTAAAAGCAATCAGATTATTTGACAGGTTATGAAGAACATGGTCATGGTTGTGACTGGCATAAAAGCTTCAGAAATTTGTGTAAACTGATCACACTTGACAAGGAACCACTGATTACATCTAATACTCAATTACTTTATTTGTTGTAACCTTTGTTATATTTACCACTGTTTCCGGCCAGGCCTAGTGAACCTGACATGATGATACACTCCAATATGTCCACAGAAGCTTGTGTCACTTCATTTATGCAAGCAAGAGACACTCATATTTTTGCTCTAATTTCATGATTTACAGTAATTGATTTACTATCATGTAATGTATATGTATATTAAATATATTTCCAGAAAATAATTAAAACAAGACAAGCAAACCAAGCCTGACAAGAAAATATAATTTATCATATAAGTAGTAACTTGACAGATAAATAACTTCCTTAACATCCCACTTAACACTCAAATTAAAATTTGTTAGTGTGAATTCAGCTAAATACAAACTTACAAATTATTACATGCATATATACAAAACATTAAAACGAGGAAATATAAAGATAGTAATAGCACCATAACATTTTGATTCTCAAGTAACATAATTACCTCAGAGATTCTGTCAACAGACAGCAGTTATAAGATGTGTGCATCATGAGAAGATGAAATATATTCATTTTAATCATTTGATAAATGCTGCATCTTTTCTCATTTACATGTGGTTTAATTAACATACATGTGGGGATAGAAAAACTTTTTAAATCATACACATTGTGGAGCATTATTCATTTGCGATTCTTTAAGAAAAATACCCAAGCTATCGTATGTGTCAAACCATCATCAGCATCTAAATTGCAGTACAGTGAACATATATACTTGAGTGAGTTTAGTTTTACGCTGCTTTACGCAATATTCTAGCAATATCATGGCAGGGGAGACCAGAAATGGGCTTCACACATTGTACCCATGAGGGGAATTGAACCTGGGTCTTCGGTGTGATGAGTAAAGACTTTAACCACTAAGCTACCCCACCTCCCCATATAAACTTGAATTTCAGGGAATATATCTTGGTGCCCATAGTTTCAGGACAAAGTGAGTGCCAATTGGAGATATCCCGCAGGTGCCACTGTTTCAAAATGAAATTTAGAGTTCAAGGCATTAGTCAGTTCTGTTTCACTGTACATGCAAAATGCTTAAGTCTTTCAGATGCATGGTTTTAACTATCTAAGAATCAATGTGATGCTATGCTACTTCTGCTCTGGCAAGAGGTCTTGTGGTTTACAAATAATTGAGTCATATTATAGTCTCTCTTGAGTGAGTGAGTGAGTATGGTTTTTACACTGCTTTTAGCAATATTCCAGCAACATCCCGCTGGTAATCTCTTGACCAGCTGTATGTGTTGTTTCACACACTTTGACTGAAATGCAAAGTTCTTTGATTGTTAACAATTGATATACATGAAACAAGACATTGAGACCTCATTTTAAGAAAGCCTGTTGAATTATGCAATGAATGGTGAACAAAACCATTACATTTGTGAAATTTTGAAACTTGATATTTAATATTTTTCTGATTGTGTGCCATGGACTCAATTCAGGTCAACATCAATTCTGAATTTGAACTAATGCATAAATAAATACAATTTGAAAGTGAAAGAAATATCTAATTTCTGTACCCTTTGCATACTGACCTGGAATGTAAAGAGTCACAATAATTTGGCAGTGTACAAAGGGTAACGCTTATACAAGTAAAAATAAATGAATGCTGTCATGTCAGGGAATGACATAGCTAAATTCAAGCAGACTCATCACAGGTGTACAAACTACAATACATAATTCATAACATTGTCACAGCAAGTAATTTGTTTGATAAACCTTTTGGAGTGATGAACACGAGAACAAAGGTTTACAGATAGTGAATGGATGGACATGGAAGTTGATGACAAGAACTTTGCTTTCGAATGTGTATCACTAATTAATCAAATATAAAATACTTCAAGTACAATATCCTCAGATCTATTTCAAGAAGCACCAGATTGGTTAATAAAAAACCATACTCATATCATTCTTCCCCTATCATTGAGAATAAATTATTTGCTTAAAATGACCCTGCATCTTCTCTCTGACATTGAGGCAGACATTTACTCTATATTATGCAGGAAGGTAGCCAAGGATGTTATCCTCATACAGACAAAAATCACAGATTTTCAGAAACATATAAACACTATGACCGGAATGTTTATCACACCCTGTAAACACATATCTACCCTTGAATGCATGAGTGAGTGAGTGTGGGGTTCTATCCTAAAGTATAGCAGTCACAACATGGTGCCCAAACACAGTCTGCACACACAAGGTCTGAGCCTGTTCTGCTAGGTGAGGTAATAATCTCAATAAAAGATACACATGATCGAGGAGCACTAAAATTATTAATCTGTAAAATGGCAGGCAATGGAAGATCCAGTTCAGGTACAGTTCGGAGGAAGAAGTAACACATAAAGAACCCGGGCACATAGACACACACTGGAATGGATGACATTTGGATGAATATTCCAATGGTCATTCTGTAATTGAGGTATTCAGGACAGACGAATCAGTTAGCACTACATAATACTACTGAAGGCACTCATATCCTCAGATACAACAAACATCTGCAGAACAGGCAGATATTCCTGAGGGAAGTCGTTACAACAATACTGTACATAACACAAACTGTCCACTGTTCCAGTGGTAATCTCATGTATCACTTGTAGTCGTCTTGAAGCAGGAGCATGCAACACAAGCACCTGCATCCATTGACAATGTCTCTGCATCCGGCATCATCTTGTATGAGGCACATTCACTTTATCACATTTCATGGTCACAGCCAAGGTCATTAAGGCATAAAATGTCTTTCCATTAAGAAAGTATAAAAGTATCTTTCATCACATTTCTTTAAAAATAATCTCTGGAAACGGGGATGTCCATTCTCAAAGTGACATATTTCAAGAGAATTTGTAGTGTAATCATGCATAGGCATGTGCAATGTTCTGGCATGCCTGGTTGATGACTTTCTGTAATGATGCACACTTTCGCTCTACATGCAGACACCGTTTTTCTGCTTGTCGATGCCGCTCTTCGGTGACCTTCACCTTGCTGACAAGCTGAAGGTTCTCCATGTGAAGGTCATTGACCATCATGTTCCTCTCGGACAGAGACTCGTACTGAAATGATACAAGTACAAACTGGTCAGCAATATCAGAGTTTCAAAATGAGTAATTAAGGTACGATGCCTTGGCAATACTTTTAGTAGTATCACAGTGGGAAACACAAGAAGTTGACACATGTTCACCAACACTTTTCAACATGAATACTTTAACCACTTGGCTACCACATTGTCCTGTTTCGAAGATAATTGTGCATTCTGAAGAAATGCCACAGATCAACATTATCAGGTGTAATACAGTATCATTCAGTATTCATGTCTTGTCAAGTAATACTGCCCCTAAGGATGACGAGACAGACTTACTGTGGTCATGAGTTTCTCGGCCTGTTCCTTGAAGAGGTTGTGGTAGTACTCCACCTTGGTGTGCAGGTCCTTCTTGTCTGCCTCCAGCTGCTTCACACGCTTCTTGTGGCCCTCCTTCAGGTCTGTGCAGTTGAACAGTCAGTGTTAGCTTCAGCCCAACCACAAATATCAGACCATAAACAAGTCACTCTTTTATCATCCATACTGGTCTGGCTTTCAGTTGTTTCTTGGTCATCAAATAGTAATTGTAACTGCCCTCTCAAAAAAGCCCAGACATCAGTGACATATTGTGCTAAAATCCCTAAATATTCTGAAAATCTTTTCTGATAATTCTGTCACTGAAACTAACAACTTACAGCCAGACCTTTACAAGGTAAAGCTGTCTGAAGTTTATTTGTCTCAGACATACAACTTACTTCAAGCAAGCAATTCAATCATCTGTAGAATTAATTCCTATGTCACAAACACAAGCTTCAGTTGAGCTGCCTGAAATTCGCCACGGTTCTGAAGGACACCTACCTTCTATGAGGTCCAGCTTCTCCTGTATAGCAGCCTGAAGTTCATTCATATGTCTCTGCTGCTCCATGAGCCCAAGCTGGAGATTAGTGAACTGTTCCAGATCCACCATGTTCTTTGTGCGGTCTTTCCATCGACTGATCTCCTGTAGATGTCGTGACTGCGCCACACTCAGGGCCGTGCTTGCTTCCAGTAGCTACAAAAGTAATTTGATATTCCAGACTCCATTATCTCAACCTACAGGAAATGTCCAGAGATATCCAGACATTCGAGATAACAAGGCATAACCATCTAGGCACATCAAGTAACAACACTGCATACACAAGTGTTTGCCACTAACATGGCAATGTCCCCTGCCAATAAAGAAGAATGAAATCTAACATATTCACTAGTTTTGATATTTTGGTCACATAGAAGATTACATTACGTGTGATGTAGGTTTTAGTCATGGTCACTTCTCAGAATCTTCTCTTAACTCTGAAGATACTTCAGGAATATAGTAGGTTTGAATGTATAGATGCAGATGCACATATCCACTATCAGTGTGTAGTAGGGCTGGGACGGGTCCAACTTTTCTACCCATGTATCCCAACCCCTATTACCCCCACCCTACCCTGATACCCATTATGTTAATTACTGAAATCAAATTTGTAAAAAATGGAAATATATTCTTCAGCTCAGAGGCTAAACTTGGGTCAACGTTTTATGAGATATCGCATTTACTTAAAGGTCACATGCAACGTAAAACACAACTTTGCAGATTCTGATACCTTTCGGTATGGACATACCGAAACAAAGCGTCAAAACTAAATTCAACTTATAAAGTTGAAAAATAACGCGATGAAAAAACCCGCGCGAAATCGAAGTTCAAACGTTTCACTAATTTTCCCCAGACTTTTCTGGGGAATACGGGTTTCAACAGCTGGGCTGCGCTCATAGCACGTGCGCAGTGAAATAGGTTCGCGTAACTAGGAAGCGGGTTGTCTGGTGAATACTCGGTGAAGGCTTTGGTGTGAGCTATTTTCATAATGTTTTATTGATATCTCACAGGCGCGAGCTTTTTATATGTTATGACAGTAAATAAACTGTTTATATAATTTCATTTGTCTATTTCACCACACGTTCTTCTTACCGAGTCACTTTCTTAGTTCGATACTTAAAAGCAATGTCATTATTTAGCGTTGACACAATTTCTAACTGTGATATAGATATGTCGCTGTCACAGACAAAACTTGATTTATTGACACCTGTGTGTCTGACTGCCTGTCTGCTAATGACAATATTCAATACACAACTGCGATCACTGACCACATGCAATTGAACTTAACACCAATCAGGCTATACACCATAAACAAAATGCATTGATTTATGGCCCGAGTTCGGTCTCTGTCACATTATGTAATTACACAGACAGGCAGGTGTGATACTTGAACACATGACATGTTATGATGTCTGTTGATTGCAAAATGTTATACACAAAAAATGAGCATGTATTTACAAAACCCAACATCTCTATATATACACACACAATGAGCCGTGAAGACGGCTTCTGCTAATGAACCAGCCGTTACACTTGAGTGCACACCCACCCGCTCTGACTGGGTTCGGTATCCCGGCTGCTTCGTTTCGAAGGAGGTAAACCCAAGTACAAAATATTGCACTTTTGATTTGCGATTATACGCTTATTATTTTGTTTATTTGTTTTTTCATAATCAGCAATGCATATTATATGTCATGAAGAAGTGATAATTGTGTTTTAATTATGTTTGATTTTTGGGTTGCATGTGACCTTTGAAATGTGGTCAATGTGTCATGGTGACCTTGAAGATAAGGTCAAGGTCACCCAAATCGACTGGTGTCTGTGTAATCCCCTAATGTAGGTTGTCAACAAATTTGAAGACACTATGTACAACAGGGCATGAGATATCATGTTAGCAAGAATTTGAAAAGAGGTCAGTGTCATGGCGACCTTGAAGATAAGGTCAAGGTCACCCAAATCGTCTGGTATTTGCGTAATCCTCCAATGTAGGCTGTCACCAAATATTAAGACATTGGGTACACCAGTTCATGGAATATCGTGGTCACAAGAATCAGGACATACATACAGACGCTGCTGAATACATTCTCCCGTTCCGGTTGGGGACAACAAGAAATAAAGAACAACACACCAATATAACGACAAATTGAAACAAACTTTGCCTGCATTGATTAACAATTACAAATTTTGCACCTTATTTGTCAATTAGTCGTAGCAGCAAGTTCAGTATTTAGTCTGTCAAGTTGACAAACAACAAAGTGCCAGTCTCATCTCAAGCATATCAATTAACAGTCTTGATATTGTGAGTAGTGTCATGAGTGTACTGATTCCTTTGATCTCTTTGATTTGCACTTTCTGATGAAACCAGGACCTAAAGAGAGGCAGTTGGGACTGGAGAATAAGTTTGAGATCTTGGTTGGTACAAGTACATTCCAGATACAAGATGAAAGATAATGAGGTTTGACTGTGTGTTAAAATAAACAATTACATAAGACGGTTTTGCTCTTATTGTACTCATGTGACATCTTTACCTTGTCAGACACCTTCTGTAACTTTTTCTCCAGCAGCTTCTTCTCATCGTGAAGCTCCTTCAAACACAGAAGACAATATGTGCAATCATTCTCATCGATAGGAGTGAGTGAGTGAGTTTAGTTTTACGCCACACTCAGCAATATTCCAGCTATATGGCGGCGGTCTGTAAATAATCGAGTCTGGACCAGACAATCCAGTGATCAACAGCATGAGCATCGATCTACGCAACTGGGATCCCATGACATGTGTCAACCAAGTCAGTGAGCCTGACCACCCGATCCCGTTAGTCGCCTCTTACGAGAAGCATGGGTTACTGAAGATCAATATTCTAACCCGGACCTTCACGGGTGCTCATCAATAGGAACCATTTCCTCAAATCACCAGTACAGTCAGTGAATGAATGCTGTTGAATGCCTCAGTCAGCAATATCACAGTGGTCTTAACTTAATCATGCAAAGAGGTGAATGAAAGCATCAGCACGACCAATACAATAAGCGATGGACGACACAAACTCAACTCAGTCATTGAGTGTGACCACCCACTCATTACTATCAGCTCTTATGACTAACACCCCACAGTAATAACATGTACTAAAGGGCAATCAACAATATTGGCCACTGCCTCATGGCAGGGCTATCCTCCACCCATTACAGTGATTTGTGATCTCCACTGGGCAACATCTACAGATACATGTGGTATGTCCTGACGCCTGCACTAAACTGACTGACTGACTGCTGTTTTACGCCGCTTTTAGCAATATTCCAGCTACATCACGGCTGGGGACACCAGAAATGGGCTTCACACAATGTACCCATGTGGGGATTCGAACCCGGGCCTTCGGCGTGACGAGCCAACGCTTTAACCACTAGGCTACCCCACCGCACCCTGCACTAAACATAGTTGTGACTCCAGCTAACAAAGTGTTCTATGTTATAGACATGGACAACCATCAAACATGTCCTCCATGAGCTCATGCTGTACCTTGTCCTCCCTGTGTTTGGAAGGTCTCGACTCCTGGATGTGATCCTTCAGAGAGTTCACCTTTTCCTGGAGCTCAGACTTTTCACGTTTCATATTGCTCAGATCAACCTGCAACAAAGAGGAAGCCTCAGCACATACTCTACTTTCAAGTCTTTCACAAACGAAATGGGTTTTTTTCCAAGATGGAGGACTCCTTTCAACAAACTGGTCAATATCTCCATGTATCCACTAAAAATACTTCAAAGGAGGAAAACCCGTGAAGGTCCGGGTTAGAATGAGCCTTCAGTAACCCATGCTTGTCGTAAGAGGCGACTAACGGGATCGGGTGGTCAGGCTCGCTGACTTGGTTGACACATGTCATCGGTTCCCAATTGCGCAGATCGATGCTCATGCTGTTGATCACTGGATTGTCTGGTCCAGACTCAATTATTTACAGACCGCAGCCATATAACTGGAATATTGCTGAGTGCAGCGTAAAACTAAGCTCACTCACTCAAAGGAGGAAACCATGTAATATTTTCAGCACAACAGGTTACACATGTAAGTGTTTTAAACACCTCAAAAAGTATGTGCAATACTCCAGTTCCAGACATTTGATCTTCCAGAACAATGACTGGCATTTTCTTTTGAGACAAACTTCAAAGAAGACATTAAATTTATCTTTCTTATATTACCAATTATTATGTCTATAAGTGACATTTTGTGCATTTTTAACTAGCTGTTTCTCCAGGAAAATCACAGGTCTCAGTTTAAAGGTCACAAGGAAATTCCTGCAACAGGACATCTTCATGCCCAGGTAGGATACCACATGCTGAAGCTCACCTTCAACTTTTCTGTCTCTGTGCAAGCAGCATGAGAGTACTTGAGCTTCTCCTTCAGCTCTGTGACCTTGGATTGAAGCTGGTCCCGCTCTTTCAGCAGTTGTGTCTGGGTGCTCTATATACAACAGGGAGAACATGGGTTGCAGAAGTGATTTAGGGATGCTTTCTATACAATTGGGAGACCATGAATTATCACAGAAGTGGGGTTTGGGCTGTTTTCTGTTCACTAGGAAGAACATGAGGGATCACAGAAGTCAGGTCTGACTGCTCTGTACACAACATGGACATCACAGAAGTCAGGTCTGACTGCTCTGTACACAACATGGACATCACAAAAGTCAGGTCTGACTTCTCTGTACACAGCATGGACATCACAGAAGTCAGGTCTGACTGCTCTGTACACAGCATGGACGTCACAGAAGTCAGGTCTGACTGCTCTGTACACAGCATGGACTTCACAGTAGTCAGGTCTGACTGCTCTGTACACAACATGGACATCACAGAAGTCAGGCCTGACTGCTCTGTACACAGCATGTACTGGACAGAAGTCAGGTCTAACTGCTCTGTACACAACATGGACATCACAGAAGATGGTGTGGTTGGGCTACATACAACATGGACATCACAAAAGATTGGGTGGTTGGGCTACATACACCATGGACATCACAGAAGATGGTGTGGTTGGGCTACATACAACATGGACATCACAGAAGAGTGATCTGGTTATGCAACCCAGATTATCAGAGACATGGAGTTAGGGCTGTTTTCTATACATTAGGAAGAACATGGGGGATCACAGAGGCCAGGTCTGACCAGTATATGATTGAATTTTGAAAAGTCGCTGGCCAGAAGGGCAAGTTAAGTAATAATGTTGCTAGCCCAAATCATACTTCACTGGCTCTGCAAAATATCAATATTAAAATGCATATCAGTCAGAATTGGTGTGGTGTTCGGTAATTGAAGATGGTAAGTTACTGTCTCCCCTTGGAAACAATATAAACAAAACAAACACAAAAACCTCTTTCTTTATTCCTGTGCATTAAATAAAGAACAATTATCTGAGATTTTCAGCTAGCCAGTGGGGATAGCTTTAGCAATATATTTCCGGGTCCGATTCACAATCAGCTTTCATTTGGCTAGCAGGCCAGTAGCTATTTCGAACACTGGGTCTGACTGCTCTGCATACTACAGGGGCATCACAGAAGTGGTGTGTGGGTGGCCTGCATACAACAGGGAGAATATGGGATGTCACATAAGTGGTGTGTGGGTGGCCTGCATACAACAGGGAGAATATGGGATGTCACATAAGTGGTGTGTGGGTGGCCTGCATACAACAGGGAGAATATGGGATGTCACATAAGTGGTGTGTGGGTGGCCTGCATACAACAGGGAGAATATGGGATGTCACAGAAGTGGTGTGTGGATGGCCTGCATACAACAGGGAGAATATGGGATGTCACATAAGTGGGGACTGGGTGGTCTGTATAAAGCAGAGACCATCACAAAAAGGATACTGTGTATACAACACCGAGAACATGGCATAAAAAATGGAATGGGTGCAATTTTCTTCATTGCAGCCTGCAATACAACAATATAAGGACAACAGACAGTTAAAAATCCAGTCTGTTGTTACAACCAGTGGTTGATAGTATGATCAATATAGGCCAGTGTTAGTTCTATTGCACACACACAACCATTATGACTTCACTATGTACCAAAGAAAGGCATATACCCTCAAAGATGGGTAAAACAGAATTTCAGCAACACCTGATAACATCTGTCTCACTGAAATTTGTATAGGTCATTTAGTCAGTTTTAAATAAATATATGTTTCTGCATTCTGAAACCAGTACAATTGCTAATACCACTTGTTTTATGGTGATGTAGTAATGTTGCGTTAAAACAGTAAATAGGATAAACGATTGAAACTTCTGATCAACGGATCAGTTTATCACACTACTTCCACTACCTTGTCATAAGGGGAAATATTTCATATTTACAGTTAACAGGCTTATCGATATTTATTCAGCAATACTATTTTTGACATCTTAATTTCAAATGAAGAATAACTTTGATGATTATGGGGTGTTGTCAGGGGAAATTGAAAAGTATGAAAAGTAGAAACTAAACACACAACACCAGCATTCAAAATACCTGCCTGCCTGACTGCACGGGACAGGATATTTTCAACACAGATTGCCAGATTCTCAAATTCATGTGCACCTGCCCGGCGGTCGGGTTAAAATTTAGACATGTATATAAGACATTCATCATATTTCAGGATAATAAATCATTATTTATTCACTCGTAAAAATAAATGATGAATTCCAATTGGATGATAAACTACGTCACTTGTCAAACCTAAATTATTTTAGGGCAGGTAAGTTTTGGTCAGGGCTGGCAAATTTTACATCTAACCAGCCCTGTGGTCTGGCTGAAAGTTTTGGGAGTTTCATACCCTGACAACGCAAAACCACTCAACTTCAGATTCATAAAATAAAGTGCTGATCAGAATCTAAACACACGGAAATGATCATGTCATAAATGTTATCTTCGTAAAATGAACAATTGATCAACTTCAGATTCATGAAAAATTTGCCGTGATTTGCAAAGTTTTCCCCAAAACAAGGAACGTGAGTCATCACATGTCAACAGGTCATAAAAAGTAGTTATATCCGCTGGGGATGTTTCATGAAGACCAAAGGTTAAACCCGGGTGACACACTCTGTAAGGCTACATAGATTTTCCGGTTGTTTTAGCAATATTCCAGCATTCTCACTGTGGAGGACACCAGAAGTGGATTTCACACATTGTACCTAAGTGGGAAATTGAAATCCAGATCTTAAACATACAGAATGCTTTAACCATTGGGGTAGCCTACCATCCCACGTGAACAGGAAAGAGATATATGTTATGAGACAGATTTCATCAATTCGTCTGAAAGGTAGTTATCAGCTCTTGTTATGTCAGGCTGATGTAGCCATTGACATACACACAAACAAAGCCAAAAAAACTTGAAAACAGAAATCAATTAAACAATTTCAAGAAAACTAAACATACTTGCAGAGTTTTAAGTTATCAATTATGGGAGCATTCCAAAATAGTGAGTGAGTGAGTGAGTAAGTGAACAGTATTCCATTTATATCAAAGGATATGAGCTTAATGGGGGGAAAAAGCCTGATATGATGGTCTCAGATGTTGAGCAGTTTGGCAAATCCCACTAGCACTGGTATGGTGATGTCAAACCTGCCAACATACCCATGATCATAAGTTTCTGGTTTGCCTGAGGGACACTAACTTTGCACGGCGCAGTGTTCACGAATAGCGTCTGACCCTCTGACAAATCCGGCAGATTCGCCAACAGTCCGATAGAAGTCTACAACCCACCAACCCACCGGCCCCAGTGTCTGACTGTATATTATATTTCACAATGACTTTGACTGAAGTTGTTATATGTGACATGTGACACTTGTTTGCTGTTTAAAAATCTTATGTGTGTTAATAATTTCAATGCCAATTATAAGAAATGTTAAATCTGAAATGTGTGTTTAATTTTATTCTATGGGTCCTGTGAATTTTCAATGGGTCAGGCAGACATCTGAAACTTACAGGACCCAATGTCCTGTTACTTTGAAACACCATTCGTGAACACTGCACAGCGACGAGAAGCATCTTAATAGATGACTGAAACCACCCCATCCCCAAACACACACTCCCCAAAGTTCCCACAAAAATATGGAATGCACACACACGTAAATATGACTCAGATCATGGAGGGAGTCCTCTCAATGGTGAGATTATTTCAAACAGTCTCACCTCCCAGTTTTGTATCATGCTCATCCTTGTCTCCAGTGTTGCCACAGTTTGCTTGAGGTCTCTGATCTCAGCTTCACATGACTGCTTGGCCTCGTAACACTCCTCGTACTTCACCTGACAAACATAACACTGAGGCAGTGAGAGAAAACTTCCAGTGTGAGTCAGCCATTTCTAGACTGACTGACTGACTGAGTTTGGTTTTACGCCGCGTTTAGCAATATTTCAGCAACATCACGGCGGGGGACACCAGAAATGGGCTTCACACATTGTACCCATGTGGGGAATCGAACCCAGGTCTTCGACGTGACGAGCCAACGCTTTAACCACTAGGCTACCCCACCGCCCCGCCATTTCTAGAGTGTATCTCAGTAACATGCATGATGTTGATCTGGAGTAGACATGACGAGGCTGAAATTTTAAGCTCTGTCACCTGAACCCACAATCTATAGACACTCATGCTCATCACAGGAGACAGCTGTTATTAATGGATGGTAATCAGTTGAAATGGAATGAGGGGTAACTCTGCACAAGGTGGTCTCTGTCCAACTATTGAAAGTGTTGGTTAGTTTAGGTAACGGTTTTAAAATAATCTCTGATTTTCTGTTCTGTTCTGATTTAATAATAATTAAGGTAAAGCCTGCTTATAACAGAATTTCATCACTAGTGGGAAGCAAGCGAAATATGATTCAGACCATATATGGCACCAAACAGAAGAATGGCCCAAGCTTGCATCAAATACTGAAACTAGCTTTCTGCAACAAAGTCCTGAGAATATTGGAAAACAACTACAGTGTTGTCCCAAAGAGGACGTTCCCTACTATTCCACATACCTTGTACTCCAGAAGCTGAATTCTCTCTTGCTGGAGCCTGGTTAGCTGGTCCTGCAGACTGTCCATCTTGGACGTCATCTGTGTCATCTCTTCTTGCACCTTCTCCTGCAGACAAAGCAATGTGAGTAAATGGCTTTAAAACCATAGTATGCAATATTCATGTGAAATCAAGTCTTAAAGAGACAGGAAGCAAGAATGCATTTTTCCATTGTAGTCACTAGTCCTGACGGTGTACTTATATTAGCACAGGCATGAGCAGCGTTTCCGAATTAACAGATGAACGAATTTATGAAGTTTCATGGCACAACCAGTAAAACTCAAGCTTTACCACTTAAGGCTGTAACTATTTACGTATCCACCAGACTACCTAATGGTTGATAACATGAGCATACACCACAGGGAGTAATATGGGTTTAATACCACTTTGACAAGTATTCAAATATCACTGAAATAGCTTGAAATGTGAGGAAAGACCAAAGTGCTGCAGGTCTTGGACCTTTACTGAGCATTTTCTGACCTTCTCTATGGAGTGCGTCTTATTTGCCGTTTCCACCACCTCTGCTCTCACAGCTGTCACAGCCATCTCCCGGTCTGAGAGAAGCTCGTCAATCCGTTTCTCCAGACTGCTCTTTGTGGCTGCCTTTTCCTGCTCCACATCCGTCAGTCTGACCTGGAGGCTGTCTCTCATGTCTTCAACCTGCAGCAGCACCACCAAGTATGTACTGTGTTGACTGTCGGCACATATAACCTTCAATTGAATCATGTTCAATCCTACCACACATCACAGCCTATATTTACCCATCTGGACCTATGGTCTTATTGATCTGTGCAAACATCAGCACAACTATGTACTTTGTTGGTTGTCAGGGTCATGATGCCCTCACATATAACCTTCATAAATTCACAACAAGCAACAGTTTTACTCCAATAAGCATGAAGATTCTACCTGTTTCAGTTGGTTTTGTAGTCGGCTGACAGTGGACTGGAGTTGTTCTTCTGCTTGCTTCCCACGGTCCTGTTCCGCCTTCAGCTCCAACTGCAGGTCAGTTATCTCCCCTTCCAGCATCTGACTCTTCTCATTCAGAACTTGGCGCTCAAGACCAAATGTGTCCTGTAGTTCTTCAATCTGCCGGACAAAGTCTGTCTGAAAATACAACAGTAAATAAATAAGAAAGAAATTGGTAAATGTTGGAGTCATTATTGGCTGGATTAACACAAGACCTAGTTTTAACTTTGTTTGCCGATGTGTATGCATTGCAACAATCTGGTCCTGAGTCATATTTGAAGGCAAATGTTGACAAATAAAGTTAGACAAATAATAACACCATTGGACTTTACAGCACTGACATGTCTTTCATCGAATTTAGAGATCTTCAAATACATCAAAGAAAATACTGCAGAGTCTACGAAGGCAAATCAGTATACTGATAATGTTTTGTCTTGTACTTGATAATGTGAAGATACAAATCTTGGTAGAATATCAACATGAGAAGTGTGTAGGACTTTAAGGGTTTACTTTCTTCCAAGAAAACTGTTTTTAGTATTTGATACAAGCTTGAGTGATGAACTATTTACAGTCGTGTTACAACTTGTGGATATGTCACAAGAAATATTTTCAGAGCGGCCTTCTCAAGGCCTGGTTTTAGAAAAGACGATAGAAATTGGATTCATTTAAGTAAATTAAAGTTCTGGTGTTTGATGATTTTATCACTTAGACCTTGCGAAAAGAATTACCAAGTCCAGATAAGTCAATCAATGTTTGTCAGTGTCTGTTTGTGCCTGCATACATACATGTGTGTCTGCACCAATCTACTCCCATCAAGCCCTGTGTAAGCCTGTTGTGTCTGTCGGCACCTGCATATACCTGTATGTGTCTGTGCAGGTCAGCCTGCTGTGTCTGCACCTGAATGTGTCTGTCCAGGCCAGCCTGCTGTGTCTGCACCTGAATGTGTCTGTCTGAACCTGAATGTGTCTGTCCAGGCCAGCAGGCCAGCCTGCTGTGTCTGTGAACCTGAATGTGTCTGTCCAGGCCAGCCTGCTGTGTCTGTCTGAACCTGAATGTGTCTGTCCAGGCCAGCCTGCTGTGTCTGTCTGCTGTATGTGTCTGTCCAGGCCAGTCTGCTGTGTCTGCACCTGAATGTGTCTGTCCAGGCCAGTCTGCTGTGTCTGCACCTGAATGTGTCTGTCCAGGCCAGCCTGCTGTGTCTGTCTGAACCTGAATGTGTCTGTCCAGGCCAGCCTGCTGTGTCTGTCTGAACCTGAATGTGTCTGTCCAGGCCAGTCTGCTGTGTCTGCACCTGAATGTGTCTGTCCAGGCCAGCCTGCTGTGTCTGCACCTGAATGTGTCTGTCCAGGCCAGCCTGCTGTGTCTGTCTGAACCCTGTCCAGGTCAGTCTGCTGTGTCTGCAACCTAAATGTGTCTGCCAGCCAGTCTGCTGTGTCTGCACCTGAATGTGTCTGTCCAGGCCAGCCTGCTGTGTCTGCACCTGAATGTGTCTGTCCAGGCCAGCCTGCTGTGTCTGTCTGAACCTGAATGTGTCTGTCCAGGCCAGCCTGCTGTGTCTGTCTGAACCTGTATGTGTCTGTCCAGGCCAGTCTGCTGTGTCTGCACCTGAATGTGTCTGTCCAGGCCAGCCTGCTGTGTCTGCACCTGAATGTGTCTGTCCAGGCCAGCCTGCTGTGTCTGCACCTGAATGTGTCTGTCCAAGCCAGCCTGCTGTGTCTGTCTGAACCTGTATGTGTCTGTCCAGGCCAGCCTGCTGTGTCTGCACCTGAATGTGTCTGTCCAGGCCAGTCTGCTGTGTCTGTGTGAACCTGTATGTGTCTGTCCAGGCCAGCCTGCTTTGTCTGCACCTGTATGTGTCTGTCCAGGTAGATGTGTCTGTCCAGTCCAGCCTGCTGTGTCTGCACCTAAATGTGTCTGTCCAGGCCAGCCTGCTGTGTCTGCACCTTTGTATATCTGTCCAAACCAGCTTGTGTATGGCTGTTATGTCTGTCTGAAGCTGTATGGGCCTGTCCAGGCAACCTATGTGTGCCTGTGTGTGTACCTGCAGCTCCTCCCTCAAGTCCTGCTCCCTCTCCAGCTGGTCCTGCTGATGTAGTTGCTCCAGCTGGCTCTTCTCCACCTCCAGCTTCTGCCTGATCACAGACATCTGCTTCTGCATGTCAAGAATCTCGTCTTGGTACCTCTCTATCAGAGCAGTCTTCTCTTCCTCATATGATGAGCCTTGAGAAACAGCAACAAACTACATCATAGTGCACTTCATGTGAGCAAACAAACGATTATAAAAAAACTGCCAAAGAAAGAAATTTGTGATTGAAAATCACTAGACATGATGATTTAACATTTCAGTTGACTTCTTGTCATGCTAGGGAAGGTTTTATATGCACCATTAAATAAAATGTGTTACTGTGTCGAAGACTAAGCTTAAATAGTAATCAGCTGTATAAGCTTTATTCCAATTCGACACGATCAAGCTAATAAGACCACAATACAATGTTAACAGATAACAGTCAAACCACAAAAATATGACGCTTAACTAGCCAAACCATAGCAATTGTGATATACAGTGAGACCCCGGATATCCGGTTTTGCGTAAATCATCCGGATAACTGAATATCAGGATATCTGGATTTCTGTCATCCAGGCTTAGGTGTTGAAACAGTAGCGAGCATACACTTCTGGTTTAAAATCACTTCCAAAACAGCATGGTCGGTTTGATTTGCCAATTTCACTCTGTGTCAGATAGGCCTACTAATCACCACCAATACCTTGCTTGTAATGTATTGCATTCCGGATCCAGTTTATTCATGTGCCAAGTTTTATATGTGATTGAAATGCATTGTGGGGTGTTATTAAGAGTTCCGGCATTAAGTCCGCCATGTTGTACCTGACGGTAATAAACCACGAAATCAAGCTCTAATCCATGCTTTGTGATCCATCACACTGCTGATCAGTCATTAATCTGGATTAGCAGACTTTGTCTCGTGTCAAGACACGTGGGACACTCACGCTTCACTTCTCACGGTCAGTGGAAGATCAAAGCTTCGAGCAGATAAGTGAGTCAATTTTGTGTTGATTTAGCTGGTTGGTTTGTAATATTTACCGTCCGGGAACGGAAACCCCATATCCGTTATAGACAGTCACTTTTATAATGTATAGAGATTGTTTTTTTTATGAAAATTGACTGGAAGGCAAGGTTTCCGGATATTTGGGGTCCGGGTATCAACCAATTGTAAGCTAGTTGTCAGGGCACACCATTTGGTTACAGATTTCAAGGGTCAAGTTAATACCTCTGCTCAACTGTCAGTTTATCTACAGTCATACACATTTAGTTTTCTCCACATAAAAACAAAGATACTTACACAATGTGTACTTTTGCCGATCAAAGTCCTCCTTCAGTTGCTGTTCCCTGGCCTGATGCTGAGCAGTGAGGGTCTCCACTGACATCCTATCTCTCTGAACATCACCCTCCTGGACCTTCAGTTGGTTCACAAGGGCAGAATGTTCAAACTCCATCTCTTTCTGCCTCAGAATCAGTTTCTCCTTCTCAACCCGCACCTCCTCCTTTTGGGTTTGAAGGTCTTCCATGATTGAAGTCTTATCACTGTCCAACTCCTGTCTTCTTTTGTCAAGCTTCTCCTGGTCTGCCTTTTGAAGGGCATCCCTCTGAGTCTGGAACTCCTTTTGAGCAGCTGCATGTTCCTTTTCAAAGTCTCTCTGCCCCTGGAGAAGATCATCCTTTTCATCACTTAACCTTTGTCTTTGTTCTTGTACCTCCTTGAGGGAAGAGGAATATTCCTTTTCAATGTCTCTTTGCCTCACCAACAAGTTATCCTGCTCCTCTTTCAGTAGGCTTCTCTCCTTATTCAGATTATTAAGAGTTTGCTCTTTCTCAGATTCCAATGTCACTTTCTGTTCTTGTAAGTCAAGAATTGATGCCTCAATTTCCTTTCCTTTCACTTGCATCTTTTCCATTTGCTTCTCCTGCCATGACTCAAACTTATCCTTCTTGTCATTAAGAAGGGCTTCTTCAGCTTCTAAAGCTGTCAGTCTCTTTCGCACATCTGAATTCAAACTGTCCTGCTCCTGACTGAAATTGTTTTCATATTGAGCCTTTTTTTGTTCTAATTCAACTTTACTCTCCTCAAGAAGATCATGCTCTGCCTGTAGCTCCTGCTTTCTCTGATGGACCTCCTCCTCAAGCCTTTCCTTTTCTTCTTCCAACTCTTCCTGTCTCTTTCTTACATCTTGAAGACTTCTCTCCAGATCTTGTCGCTGTGTCTCAAGATTAACTTCAAGTTTCTGTTTTACATCCTCAAAGTCCTGCCTCCTCTTTTTAATCTCATCTCTAGCACGCTCACAGAGAGTTTCTTGACGATCTAACTCATCAAGGATATTATGACTCTCCACATCAAAATCAGCCTTCCTTTTCTCAAGTGCTACACTGTCCTCCTCCAGAGCTGTTTTTTTCTGTTGCAGTTCATCGAGTATTCTTCTTCTCTCACTTTCATTCTCAACTTCTCTCTGTTCCAAAAGTTCAATCTTGGACCTCCACTCTGCCTCCAACTCCCCCCGATGCCTACTCAGCTCTTCATACATGGCCGCCCTTTCAGTTTCTGTAGCTTCTGTCTTCCCCTGCTCCACCAACACATCAAAGTCCTCCTTTAATTTGCCTTGCAACCCACTCACTCCCTGAATGAATGAATGAATGATAATTATTTAGGGGGTTGTTCTTTCTGCTTGCTAGTGGATGATTGTTTCACTCTCTACTCATTCATATCAGACTTATCTCTCCAAAAATGACGCAATATATGCATGAACCTTACAAATCTCATCCTCATACAAGGTGCAGTGGGGTAGCCAAGTGGATAAAGCATTCCCTTGACACACCGATGTGTGAAGCCCATTTCTGATGTTCCCAGCTGTGATATTGCCCTAATATTGCCAAAGCAGCTTAAAACCCAACTCACTCACTCCACATACAAATTTACATATAATGCAAAGATAAGGGTGGTACCATTTTCAACAAGCACTGTGTCATTTAATGAGCAGTTCAGTAACATTGCTGACAATTCTTCCACTTAATTGCTTTTTTCCCTATTTCCACCAACCTGTTCCAACATATTCTCATAGTCCAGCAGCTCTAATTTGTGCCTAGTCTCCAGTTCCTTCATCTGCAGCTGGTGCTTTTTCTCCAAGTCATCCCTCTGACGATCACACTCAGACTCAATCTCTTCCTGCTGCAACTTCAGCTTGAGGTCAAGGTCAGCAACTTTCTGTTCAAGGTCCTGAACAAGTGACTGATCCTTTGCAGATGTACTCAGCAGAGTTGAAGTCTCCTTTGCATGATCACCACGGGACTTCCCCAATTCCTGATTAAGTCTCTCCTGGTATTCTGCTTGCAAGCTAAAATAAAATTATGTAATTTTTAAAGTAAAATTGATATTTTATACTTATCCTGACTCATGATCTTTTGCTTATCTCCTTCTTCTATGCGAATGTTAGTGGAACACTTGAATCCCTTGTAGTTCCCTAAAGCGGACGTAAAAGTTCTCACCCACGAATTGCCTCCCTTTTCCCGCGCAAACAGTCATGTGACGTGCCATGCTTGCCACTCCCTCCTGAATAAGCCCATGCATCTGGGTTTGCTGGGAAACCCGAAGTGTTGGGAGGTTGGGAGGGCTTGACCTCAAAAGTCAGGATAAGTATAAAATATCAATTTTACTTAAAGAATTACATATTTTTCCTTATCCTGACTCATGATATTTTGCTTATAGAATCCGACAGATTGGTGATGGGTCAAGCCACTTCATGGATTCATCAGCTGTCCTTAGATACGTCCTGTATCCCCGTTATCCCCGTTGTATCTTCCGTTATAAACTCAGGGGGACCACAATCTTGTCTTACTTCTCCCTCAGACAAGTGAATCTTCTAGATTCGTGTGGATTTTAGATATACTAGTATCTTCTTTTTACCAGTTATCTATAACAACCCATAGATTATGATAAGATCGTTATCATAAATGAGTTGCGACCCCTTAATGTACAGGTAAGATCATTACCCGTACAGAGTCTTAATCACTCATGCTAGTCTAGTCTAGACTGTGCGCATGGACTTTCAAACTAAAACTCATCAACAAGTCAACGTGATAAAGGGTGAGATTTCCAACTCAGCGCCTTTGTGGGACCGTTAGTTGTAGTGCTACAACAACTGGCCCAAACTGGTGAATGCCGGAGACGTTGTCAGAGGTGATGTCTCTGAGGTAGAGGTTGGCAAACACTGTGTCCGACTTCCAAAAGCAGCCCTCCATTACAGCTGATATCTAACAGCTTCCGTGAAGAGCAAGTGTTGACGCCAGTGCTCTGACTTGGCGTGGGTTGGAAGCTCTTGGAGGTTCTAATCCTGCTGCTTTGTCAGCTCACATCCAAAAAGATATTGTCGTCTTTGAGACTTCTACTGTCGTCACTGCTGACAAAGGGGATGAATAGGCGCATGAATTTTCTTCTCCTTGTTTTAGTCTTTTGAAGAGATATCTTCAGGGCTCTGACAGGACACAAGGATAAGTCCTTGGTGTCCTCTGTTCCGAGGATCGTAGATATCGCTGGGACGTGGAACTGTCTGTCCAGTTGGCCAAGCAACTGATTCTTTGCAGTGAAGTCCCATCTAAGTCCTAGATGAACTGCATTATGTTGCCCTCTGTCGAATGTGGTTCGACCAAAGTCCAGCGCGCATGTATCTCCGATATGCGAGTGGTTAACGCAAGCAGGAACAGCGTCTTCTGTGTTAGCAGCTCGAGTGTAATCTGATCTTGTGGTTCGTAGACATCAATGGTAAGATGACGCAGAATTACATTCAGATCCCAGGCTGGAGCTCTGAATTTCTTTTGCTGGTCCTCCAGCTTAAAAGATCTCAGTAATTCTGGTATTTTCGTCAACTTGATGCCTGTTTTCATAGTAATCACTGTACTGATTGCAGCGAGGTATGTAGATAGTGTCGAACCCTTCAGATGTCTGGTCTGTCTAAGATGACAGATATTCTGCCATTTGTCGTCATATAGGTTACGAGTCGATGTCTAAATGTATTATCAGGAACCGTTGCAGCGGTCTTAGTTGTAACCTTCCTGTGCGAGTCAAGTCCTGCGCCGAGGTTAGTAGACCGAGTAGACATTGCCATGTTCGTAGTGTTAACGGAGAGATGACTGCTTGTTGAATCATGGCTTGTATCTTGACCCATGATCTTCTGGGACCACAATTCAATCCTGTATTGTGATAATTCTTCTTCCCAGCAATTGAAGATCTTGATTGATTCTAACTCCAACTTCATCAGGTTCACTAGCCATCCTAGTTGCGTGAGCAACTTAATTGAGAAGTTCAGCTGCTCTCTGAGTTGATTGGCACTTTGAAGAACCTGTATGCCTTCCTCCGGATAACCGGCACTGCGTAGACCTCGATGTTGTAGATAGGTGCCGATAGGCTTGGTTATTCGTATGAATAATCATAGAGCCTACGATATTCCAATCGATAGGACGTTCCATTGGAAGTGCTAACCTCTGATTGCAGTGATGATACATCATTCTTCCCCTTATATACGCAGGCGATCTGTGTTGACATCGAAGCGTTGTCTATTTATAGCAAGGCTGGCTCCCGTGTAGCATCGCAGGGGACAGGTACTCATACCGACTTTTATCAGCGACAACTTCCAAAATAAACATCGTTTATCCTGCTGTCAAGGCTAGACATCTATTAGATTCCCATGATGATAACAGGCCGTAGTTGTATACTGTTTCAAAGGCTATCGATGAAATATTCTCCCCGTACCACGGGTTTGTTTACAATGAGAAAACATGCTGGAGCCTGCTTTGTCAGTGGGAGGCGTTGTCTGACGTGGACCAATCAGCTTCAAGCATGACGTTACCAGTGTTGTAGCAAGTTGGCCTCCATAAATTCTGTGAGTAAAAGCGTGCGTAATCCTACGCCGCTCATATAAACCTCCTGACAAAGGGTTGCTCCAAGTGTAAATCTTGTTTAGTGATATGAATCACTTATTCCCAGCATGACGAAGGAGGCTGTCGAGATGTATGTCTGTATGGATCTAGTTGATAGGATATAATTCCTAATGCCCACTCTGAGTGACGAGTGTTAATACGATCATCTGTACGTCCGTTCAAGTATACTTGAAGGCGATGTTAACCTTAAGCCCTTTACAAAGGTCGTCTTGAGGTTCTCCAGTACTTGAGATATCGGCTTCATAGGTGATATCATATTGGAGTCGAAGTCCTCAGCGTATATGCAGTATGTCTCTGTTGGGTTGGAGTGAGTGAGTGAACGACAATATCCGCAGGCCATCTGCTATCCGGTACAAGACCTCAGCATCTGTTTCCATCATTGCTTTCGTTTTATTCAGCCGTATGGTAATAGAGTCGACGTCAACATCCTGCCTGTTGATGTAAGGGTTTGTTAACCCTAGGGTTTGCGAACCCTGTAGATGTCTACGTTGCAGTTATCTGCCTGTAGATCTGGAGTTCTTGAACCATGTAGATGTCTGTAGCTTTCTCAAGCTGTGCGTTAGCAATCCATGCTGTAACTTATGAGTCTGGGAAGACGAAGTCCGGTTGCAAGTCCGAAGTCTCCAGATTAGTAGAGCTAGGTCTCAACAGTTCATCCATCTGCGAACCTGTTTCCCTTCTCGAACCTTCAGCCTTGTTTCGCAAACCTCTATCTGAAGATTCCTCCCTATGCGATCGTCTATCTTGAGAGTGTTCTGTCCGCGAACCTCTATCTGTGGACACATCGCTTCGCGACGCTTCGCGAACCTTTGTGAGGTGAGCTCTCTCTTCGCGAACGTTTCGCGAACCTCTGGCTTGAGGTGATTAGCTTTGCGAACGTCTGTGCAACATATGAGATCTCGACCCAGAGAGGCTAGGTGTAGGAGCAGGATCCTTCGATGTTCTCGAACGTTGAGGGTTCGCAGACGTAGATAGAGTAGGTAAGCCATCTCTATCATCCTCCAAGATGACAGAGCCGTCTGACTGTGGAGACCGTTCTCCAACGTAGCCTTGAGGTGTAGATCCAAGAGGAGTAGATTCGCGCAGGCCCGTGGGTTCGCACCTATCCTTAGGTTTGTGCACGGTTTCGGTAGATGAGACTTTTCTTAGCCTTTGATTCCTTCTGGAATCTACGTTCCATCATGGACATCATCGAAGTTCTGCATAGGTTGACGCTGCTGCGGTGTAGATGAAGCGTTCACGAACGCTGATGAGTTATGTGCCTCAACTTCACTACGAGAAGTAAGAGGTAGTACGGCAACAGCTTCCTGCTGTGACTGTAGTGGAGGATGATCTCGTAGTAGTAGAGGTCGACAGAGTCGTTGATCTCATAGATACTTCAGGTAGAAGTAAAGGGGGTCCGTCAAAAAACGTCTAGTACGTGAGGAGGTACAATCTCTTCGTTGAAGGATTCCTGGTGCGTAGATGAACTAGCTCACGTAGATTAGCCCTCCGTCTGGTAACAGCTGACTTCTTCTGCGTTGTAGAAGAAGATGACGTCTTTTTCTTAGTCTCAGACGGAGTCGACTGAGATGTAGACGATCTCTTCCTGGCCCCCTTACCAGCAGACTGCCCCTGTATGCAATATACGGTTTGAAGGCTGATCTGCAGTTTTTATCAATCGTGACTTTCTCACCGGATCCATGCACGTCTATAGATACAAGACAAATATTGATTAACTGAAGATTTGATAAATCAATACAATAACTACAGCGCAAACTGGAAAAACATGGATTTATTCACGAAGGACATTGGGGGTGAGGATCAGCCACGGATAACCTGTGCCTGCAAACAATGCAGGATTTCATGAAATGTAAACAATGTTACATGACGATGAATTTACGACTCAAAGTAAATAAATTTTTACAAAATTGTACAAATACTACATAGTAGTTATAGCCAAATCCATATACAGCGTAATTTTGAAGAATAGGCCTAAATAAAAAGTATGTGATGCCGTATACGGGACTCCAGTGCTCGCCCAACCATCCGCTTGGGCGAAAAGGGAGAGAGTGACAAGTAAGGAAGGTCACATGACTGGTTTGCGCGGGAAAGGGCAAAGGGAGGTAACTCGTGGGTGAGTGTATTTATACGTCCGCTTCGGGAACTTCAAGGGATTCAAGTGTTCCACTACCATTCGAAGGGGAAAGGAAGATAAGCAAAAGATCATGAGTCAGGATAAGGAAAAATAATAATTCTTTGTTTTATAATTTACAAGCTTGTAATCAGAAACACCTACCAAATGTTGCTCAAGCAAATGTCAAAACATTAAATGCAAACATTCAATATAGATCTAAAATTTTCCCAGAATGGTGTAAAAAACTGGATATTGCATCACACCTTGCATGTTACAATCTGTATGTTATTGCAACCCATGTATGGTTGCATCTATGGCCTCACCGGTGGGTAAGCTTCTCCCGGTCCCGAACCTGAGCCTTTCTCATTTGTTCCTTCTCCTCCTCATGCTTCTCGTAGTCCTTCTCCCTCAGAGCCTCAGCCTCATCACGTTCAGTCTTCAGTCGCATTTCAAGGTCAGTACACATCTTCTCAAGGTCACGAATACCAGTGCGATCTATTCCACGATTTTCTTCCAATCTCGATATCTCCTTGTCATAATTATCTTTGATTTTACCAAGACGTAACTCAAGGTCCTTTTCATACTCTTCCTTTAACCTACAATAATTAACATAGAGATGTGGTATTAACACATTAAGGTTAAGGTTATAAAATGTTTAAGAAACATATTTCATCAGGTTAAAAATCATTTATAATTTGACATGGACTTTACATCTATTTTTTACATATTCTGAAGGTTCAATGCTATTTTATATTTAACTAAATCATCTACCCATGACATTAGTTTATGCCATAAAACTTCTACGTCATACCCTAATGACGTTAGTATGCAAATTAGATACACAAATTAGTGGGACCTTTTTGCAAGTGAGAGCGTTATTTCATTTGAAAGCTAACTATCAGTGACATTGTACTAGAGATAGAAATGACACAGAATTGTTGTTGTTACCGTTATTAAAGTTATTAAAGGGAAACAGCAATGGAAAAATGATAAATAGAACTCATCACTTGTGTTTTTCAATATGGAAATATCAGCCTTGCTAAAGACTTGGCAGACACTGATTAACCTAGACTTGGTTGATAATTCCCATATTAATAACCACTTGTTATGATCCTCTATTCAGCATCATTTCAGCCAATACAGCCACATCACGGCATGAATGTTCACCCACCTGTTGAGCAGTTCCTCCTTCTCCTGGTCATGTTCCTGGTTCAGCAGGTTCTTCTTGGACTCATACTTCTGGAGAAGGTCCTGTTTCTCCAAGGTGAAGACATTCAGTAGCTCCTTCTGCTGCTCTGCTAGCTGCTCCTGTTGACTCCGCTCAAACTCTGCCCTCAGCTTCTCCTACAAAAGGTGGATTTGAGGGAGTGAGTGAGTATGGTTTTAAGCTGCTTTTCGCAATATACCAGCAATATGAGGGCTGGGGACACACGAATTGGGCTTCACACAATGCACCCATGTGGGGAATCGAACCTGTGTCTCCAGCATGACAAGCAGACACTTTAACCACTAAAATACCCTACGGCCCCTCAAAGGGGAAAGGATGGCATTGAATAGTCTGTTGCACTGATGCCCACAAAGGTTAGCAAAGATGAAACTGACCAAAAGTGTAAGTAAAGATCAACACTAAGGGCACAGTTCTAAATAAACCAGGTTATAGGTCAGAGTTGTCCATGCATTTAACTCTAAACAGTCCTTATGGACAGCCATTTTGTTGTAGCCTTGCCATAATTGATGCAATCTCAAGATTTGGGTATATAAACCTATATCGACCCATAGTTCATACAGGCATTGCCACACTATACTGAATATTTGCTCAGAATAATTCTCTCAGTGAGCACTTTTCCCTCAACATAAACAGAAAGAATGCTTCTGAATTAAAGATTAAGATTATTTACTTATTTGAATTGATTGAAAGCTGACCTTTTCTTTCTCAAAATTGGCCATGATTCTTTCCTTCTCAGCCTGGTGGCTGTCCTCCAGCTGGGCCACCTCCAGCCTGAAGGAGTGCTCAATTTGCTGGTGGTCCTTCTCCAGCAGGTCCAGCTTCTGGGAATTGGACAGGCTGTGCTCACTGCCACCTGCAAACCAAACATTGTGGGCCAACATTCAGAGTGAATGAACTTGATGAAACACCACTTTGAACAGTCAGTGACTGTGTGAGTTTGGTTTTATGCCACTTTTAGCAATATTCCAGTAATATCACCGCAGAGTACACCCAAATTGGGCTTCACATATTGTACCAATTTGGGGATTCGAACCCAGGTCTTCAGTATGATGAGTGAACGCTTAAACCACTAGGCTACCCCACCGCCTCCCACCTTGAACAGTGTTTTAGATAAACAACATTGTCAGCTTAACATGGACAGGAAGATATCAAATTGGTGCAGATATTAGATGTTCACATAAGTAGCCCATGAATCCTCTAAGCACATGTCAGAGACATAGTTCTGCACAATGAATTGCAGCATCATTTATATGAGGAGAACTCCAACGTTTGCAGTAGATGTAAAAGACCCACACCATTCCTTAAATCAGACAAACTAACTCAAAAAGTACAACTCTTTTGGTTTGAAGCTCTCAAATACAACTCAAAACCTGTGACAGTTACCTGACAAGCATCTTTAGCATTTGAGACTTGCCACTAACCTTAAATCACTGGCAAGGAAGTAATCTTAAACCGAATAACTTGAATAAAACCGAACATATCCAGGCCTACCAAAGAAAACTTTGCCACTGTGCAGAAAAACTCAGAAAAGCCCACATTAATCGTGGAAATAGCAACATAAACATAATACCTCACAACTGAAACAGTAAAAACGGCATCTTTAAATCGCTAAAACTGCATAAAAAAACGAAGAGCCTGCAACTTTGATTTTGCCGTGCGCACATGGAAGAGGAAGTCTCGACCGCATGTTGACATTTTCCAGTTGGGCAAAAGTTACATTCCCTTTCTAAGTATTTCTGTTTTATTATTTGTCATTTATTATCATGATACTTGTGTGCACACTTGTTTAGTTTACTTTCCATTCGTATGAAATGATTGACAGCACTTATTTCGACATATTTAATACTTTTTTACGCGAGGCGATTCACGGTTGCTCGGAAATTGGAACGAAGCGTGGATCGTAATGCGCATGCGCAGTAGAGGTCAAAGTTCGCTGATATTAAAATGTTGCAGTTTCATAGTTTTTCGTTGCCGTTTGTACTGTTTCAGTAGCGAGGTATTATGTTTACGTTGCTATTTCCACGATTAATGTGGGCTTTTCTGCGTTTTTCTGCACAGTGGGAAAGTTTTCTTTGGTAGGCCTGATATCGGAATGTGAAACTGTGATAAAGAGCATAATTCTGATAATCTAAAATGACAGAACCCTGTTATAATCACCAATTTAATATCACTGGTCAATCATACTGACAAGCCAACGGTCAGGGATTCAAAACGAGTACTAAGTTGGGCAGATATCACAGAACCCACATGACCATCCAGCTGCAAATGCCCATGGTGCCTTGTTTGGAGCCCTAGTTACTGACAATCTTTAGCTCATTTTCATAATGAAAAGGTCTCCATGTTGAAATTAGTGCCCCCTCAACTGCTTCCCTTGCATCCCCATTCATCTTAGAGTGCACAACACAACATAACACTCACTATCATCTTCTAATGAGGACCTTCCAGGTGGTTTTCTTTTAGCTAGTTTTGATCTTCTTACTTTTGTCTTTGAATTGTCCAGATCTTCCACCTCTGCTTCTGAAACAGAAAGAATATAAAGAATCAGTGAGACATTCAGCAACCTTTATAGCCTGCAACACAATAACAGTTACACACCATAGATTGATATTTTAGGTCCTTGGGCACCATGATGTTAAACACAACACCATATTGTACAGTAGGCTTACCCCACATGTTTTTACCATGCATCAAACTAGATAAACTTCACATCGGCATACTGTACAGCAAAATATATTATATGATTTCAATAACATATCTTATCCATACCCAAGAAAACAAATATGGTGATAGAAAAATAGAAGAAAAAACACACCATTTTATTGAATTAGCATGTGAAAACTGAAAGCTATAAATGCTTGCTGTGGCAGATAATGACTTTTCATTTTGGGAAATAACTGGTCCACAAATCTTTTATCTCTAAATGTACAGTTACATTTTGACTATGTCTGTTCTTTCCCACATGTTGAAGCCGACGGAAAGCATTTGCTTCCCCTAAAAGAGTGAGCGAGTGAATTTAGTTTTACACCGCTTTCAGCAATATTCCAGCAATATCACAATGGGGGACACCAGAAATGGGCTTCACACATTGGGGATTCAAACCTGGGTCTTAGGCATGATGAGCGACACTTTAACCATTAGGCTACCCCACCGCCTCCTCCAAAAGAAATAATCCCAAAAAATTGAGCATGCAATAACACTGTATCAAAATATTAATTGGTCGATTTATCAAGTTGAATTTTGTATCGGTGTAACAGGCCAGACTTTCCCCCTGGCCAAACCTTCCCCAGGGAAACTTAGGCCTAGAGACAAACTTTCCCCGAGGAAATTTTGGTCTAGGACAAACAAACCCTAGGCTTAATCTTACCTTGGGAAGGTTTGTCCTAGGCCAAGCTTTCCCCACCCCTGAATCAACTTTAAAGGCTACTTCTTTTCCACCCTTGTTTTCATGTTTATGTTCGTCTTGAAAAAGTCAGAAACGAAAACAAGACATAGCTATTCACGTGAACATATTGATAAGATATTCAGGTTGATTTCAATTTCCATTAACAATTTACTGGTCATCTTCATCTTCATATATAACATGTACATGGTTCACATTTTGTTTTGTCAAATCATGTTTGACCCAACACAATTCCCTAATTCCAAATTATTAAAAATAATTTAATATTACCAAATTTATCTTACTTTATTATATATTACCGGGGTATATCATTACTATTGTTTTAAATTATCATATACATATTTTTATATTTCAATAATTTACTTATCCCCACTTATTCCAAATTGGCTTATCTCAAAATCATTACTATATTCGAAACTTTAACTAAACACCCATTTTTTACTTGGATGTCCATGTCCATTCAAAATTTTATTCCCTCACTCATGGCTTTAAATATGGCATCCACGTTGGCGACATCAACTTAACAGTTGGAAGCAGACGTAAACATCAACACAACAACACAACACAATATCTGTATCAAATGCTGTATCATCTATCATTCCACTATAGTGCCTTATTCTAAATTCAAAAGACAAGGTTTGATAAGGGGTAAACTTGGCCCATGGATATCTGAAACATATTTCATTCACCAAAAGTGATTATGGATTAGTAAACAAGCTTATGTGAATAATGTTCCATTACATTTACAGGTATACATAAATACAACAAATATTAGATAATAAACAGCATGATAAGAGAGCAAGCAACCTGTGTATATTACATCTTATTAACCCATCAAATGTGCGATTGAATGTTTACATCTTATGGTGACATGATTTGGACAGATGAAGACCTAATGCAATGTGTCTTCATAGGAATGGCGGCAGGAGCAGGATGGATTTAGAGATTTGCCGTTCAAACATGTATGCATTCAAATCACTACACCCAAGTCAGAGGCAAGAATGGACTCTTTGGCAAAACTGTGTACCACAATTTAAGTCAAAACTACTGTCGGTTTGATGTTTGTAATAACTTGGTTCTCCCCTTTTGATATAAGAGCAAGGGTTGGGAAGAGGTAGCCTAGCTAGGCCAGAATCTCCCCCCTTTTCATAGAAAACAGAACAAAATATCCTAGTTTAAACAGGAGGGAAACTTAGGCCAGGCGGAAAGGGAGGAGGAGAGATGAGAACTTTAGCCTAGCCCTGACTTCAACCGGGGAAAGAATATCCTAGGACCAAACTTTCCCGGGGAAAGTTTGGCCTTGGCCAGATTCTCCATGGGGAAAGTTTAGACCGGAGAAGAAATGGCCTGCTACACCGGTAGTATTGCAAATATATCCTACCTGTGGAGGACATGGATGCCAGGGATGACTTCCTCCTGGTGGGGTCTGTCAGCTGGCTGCCCTCTCGGATGGGAATCTTGGACTGAGAGCTGGAGCTGCCCCGCAGTTTGCGTGTACACGAGGCCAACTGCTGTTTGAGATTCTCTAGTTCTGCTGTTAGTTCATCCACTTTATCTTTCAGATCCTGAAATAGAATGCGGTGTCAACTAACATTTTGTGCAAGAATTTGTAGAGTCTTAGATGCTATGATGGCTTATAGACTGAGCAAACTGGGTGGTGGAAACCTGAGCCTGCTTTACAAAAGCATCATAATTATCTGCAAGCACATAGTACTGAGAACCTGGGCCCTTATTCTCGAAACGTTCGTAGCCCTAAGAATTCTTAACTTTGATCGTAGCCAATGTGTTAAGAATGGGCTTAAGAAGTTCGTAAGGCTAAGAACGTTTCGAGAATTGCTAGCCTGTTCTACAGATACAGTATCATTGTGAGTAAAGCACACTGTACTGGAAACCTGTTCTAGATGAAGAATCATCATTGTGAAAAATGCAGAGTGCTGGAAACCTATGTTGCCCATGTATCATCATTATGAGACAAGCATGAGTAGTCTCGTGAGTGAGTGAGTTAAGTTTTACGCTGCACTTAGCAATATTCCAACTATATGGCGGCAGTCTGTAAATAATCGGGTCTGGAGCAGACAATCCAATGATCAACAGCATGAGCATCGATCTACGCAATGGATATACAATGACATGTGTCAACCAAGCCAGTGAGCCTGACAACCCGATCCTGTTAGTCGCCTCTTACAACTAGCATGGGTAATGAAGATCAATTCTAACCCGGATCTTCACGGGTCTTGTAAGTCTATGAAGTCTTTACACTAACCAAATCTTGTAAACACCATCTTGTTTTCTAGCTGACATGTCAATATTCATCAAATGACAAGTCAGTCACAAATGTATTGTTCTGTCACATGGTATGGACTTACCAAGTAACTGCAGGATTCTTAACCAAGGTGTAACACAACATGGAATGTGGCTCTGGTTGTATAACAAGACAGTACCTTGTTGATTTGCTCCAGCCAGCTGATTTTGCCGAGATAGTGCTGTCTCTCCTCACTCATATCTGGCGTCTGCTCGTACTCTGTCAGCTGCAACAACATCATCTCCATCGCATGGTCATATGTACAAGTTTGCAAAGTGACACTTTGTAGTGCACATTTGTTTCTTTGTTTAACACAGCACTCAGAAATATTCCAGCTACTAGTATATTGCACCTGAATAAGATAATCCCATCATTGATATTGTGAGAAAAGGTCAATGTTTTTCAGGATAATACCAATTTGGCCACTTCTTACAACCTGCTCAGGTTGCTGGGGACCTATTCCAGGCTGTGATTCCAAACTGGGCTTTTGTGTTATGTGTAACAAAAAGTGAACGTTTTGTTTGCCTAAGATTAAATTAATTGTTTCTGACATCACTGAGAACATTTCCCTACCTTCCTGCGGAGATCATCGAGATTGCCAAGCTCCTTCTGCAAGCGTATGTTGTGTCTGTGAACGTCATCAATGTTCTCACATGACCTGGCACACTCTAGCTGCAGACGGTCCACCTCCTGGGAGAAAAAGGCACCGGGTTTAACACCACTTTGAACTCATCATGTCATGATGCATCATTTTAACATGGAAGAAACATCTGAAAACTTGGATGCTTGGCTGGGAGTTTTAAGCTGTTGCTGATGAATTCTGATATATCTTATTTCCATAGACATGAGGATGTGATTCTTATTTATCATCCAAAATCAGTCTTCCTACCTTTTTGAGTTGGTAAACAGCAATAACCACTATAAAACATACAGCTAGCCAGCTTCAGAGGCAGAATGATTTGTGTTGTCCCAGTGCCACACCAACGCCCCACCCCCCAACACACTTCCTGTGCCAGAACCAGGTTCTCCTTCAGTTTGGTCTCCTGTTGTCCCAGTGCCACACCAACGCCCCACCCCCCAACACACTTCCTGTGCCAGAACCAGGTTCTCCTTCAGTTTGGTCTCCTGTTGTCCCAGTGCCACACCAACGCCCCACCCCCCAACACACTTCCTGTGCCAGAACCAGGTTCTCCTTCAGTTTGGTCTCCTGTTGTCTCAGTGCCACACCAATGCCCCATCCCCCAACATACCTCCTGTGCCAGAGCCAGGTTCTCCTTCAGTTTGGTCTCCTGTTGTCTCAGTCCCTCCATCTCTGTCTCCAGGTTCTGCCGCAGCTTAGCAGAGTGGGCCGAGTGGGTCTCACGCTCGGACTCCAGCGCCCCCTGGAGGCTGCGGATCTGGTCCTGATACTTCTTCTCTATTGTTCTGGACAAGAAGACAACTTGAGATGTGGGCACGGGTCAAATTATGGAAGAGCTAGTGAAAGTTTTTCTTTAATTCATTAATCTGGGATTAAGCAAAATAGTAGTTTAAGCCAAGGGGAATGTTTTATCAACAAGCAAATGGCCTCAGACTGTCTCATCTTGAGTAGTATTTTCTCAAATTAAAGTAGTGTCCTTTACTGATTGTTTTCTGCTACAGTATCTTACACAACTTCAACCTAACACAATGCATTAACATTATAAATTTGATCGCATGCATGTTTACTTTTTTTTTACACATAACATTTTCAAATTTACAGCCATCACATTGCCAAACAACCTCCCAAGGCTTCAGCTTAATGGCAAAAATGTAGGACAAAAAGTGTCCATTCCCATGGACATTCAGACCAGATGAGCTAAAAGCTCTACGCTACATCTGCAAACAAGACATTAATTTCACCCAAAGCATACTAAAGAAAATGTTATTAATAAACAGAAATGGTATTAGACCCACAATCCACAAAAGTGGAATAAGCAAAGTCATGTTTAATGTCTCCATTGTTACGACTAAAGGAAAACATTTTTTACAGTAGTAAAAAATAAAACCCAAACAGGGAAACCCATGTGTCTATGGTCCCTAGAGGTAATGTTCAGATTCATCTAAACAAGCAACACCAACCACCAATCTACAGATGAATAAAGATGATTTAAGGGGAAATAATATTGGAATAAAAGTTGAACTTACAACAGTGACCACCAGATGAACTTTGTAAAGCTACATAGTTCATGCACACATCATCATCATCATCATCAATCTTTCGATTTGATTGCTTTTGTTTAATACTGTACTCAGCAATATCAAAGCTATATCATGGTAGTCTTTAAGTGTATGAGTCAGGACCAGACATTCCAGTGACTTATATTATGACTGACTGACTGACTGAGTTGAGTTTTACGCCGCTTTTAGCAATATTCCAGCAATATCACGGCGGGGGACACCAGAAATAGGCTTAACACATTGTGCCCATGTGGGGAATCGAACCCGGGCCTTCGGCGTGACGAGCCAACGCTTTAACCACTAGGCTACCCCACCGCCCCGACTTATATTATGAATCTGACCATCTGATCCGTTTTGTTGGTACGATAAGCACAGGTTACTGGGAACCTATAATAACAACCAGTGTCAATATATAGTTACACAGTGTATTAATGTCACCTTGTCCATTCATTTGCGTATTTCCTCTTATGTCCAGCATGAGGGACTGGACAGCTGCCGACCAGGAAACACCACAGGGTTAAAAACAAAACCAGGAAGTTGATAAATGGGTTCCATACTGCACCCAAACCAGCCAATAATCTAAAATCCTTTTCCAGCTGAGACCATAACATGAACCCATATTCCCACTTGAAAATGTGACTACATGAGCCCACGAGTACTCACATGTAGGTGTCTTTAATGGCACAGATTATGTCACTGTAGGAAACAGGTGTTTTATTACATCAAAATGTTTCATATTAACAGCGGGGGAGGTAAGATTTTTGGCCAAAGGAAATATCAAATGTTACATTACAGACCACTTTCTTAACATGATATGATGATCAGAACATGTTCACATGAGGGAGAAAGAGTCTTTGTTCTTCTAAGGTTAACACTTCTTGCAAGATCACACAAATGGCTAAAAGAGTGAAAAAGGATGACTTTTTAAACGTTTTAAATGTTTTCTTTTCACAATGTTTGTATTTTCTTCATCTTTATCGCTGAAGAAAATCAGTTTGAGTGAAAGACTTCAAATATTTATAAAATGTTTCTTAAGGAATTTAATCTTACTTATACGTTAAGAGTTGCTGTTAACTACCCATTCCTATGAACACCTGATAACTTTCATGGCTGTGTCTGCTTTGCTAATTGCTTAAAGTAAGCAGAACCTTTGGGCCAAATAAGGCCTATATAATACTTTGTCCCTTAAGAAGTAGAAAACCCCCAAGTTTGAACATTCAATTTGTCTGACAGTGGCCTTGGATTTGGAAGCTTAGATAACTGTGTATATATTATGCACAATGAAAACATTAGTAGGTACACCGATATGGGACAAGTGACTATACAACAGAGAACAGATGACAAACTATGGCCAATGAACTTATCACAGTCCTCTTTTACTTCAAGCACGGCCATGAGATTCTAATGAAGAACGGTGTTAAAAGGTTCACAGTAGTTGCAGTGGCACTTAATCTTTTCATCAAGAGGCAGCTGTTTCATGCATACAGATGCTCATTTTCACATAAATTACTGCAAGTGCAGACAGTTTACGTGTCAATATCATAAAGAGACAGGTGCACAAAGCTGACATGGAAATTAATCATGAAATGGCATTAAGTACATTGTCCAATCGAGGCTTTTATGAATCCTTGTGACTGTTGATAACGGAACATTTTTTAACACAGATTTGGGCAGAGCAACTTGCAGAAATGCTTTATTAACCAATATTCACATGGCAAACATGTTCAGTTAACTTGTTGGAGGGAGTGAGTGAGTGAGTGAGTTAAGCTTTATGCAGGACTCCGCAATATTCCAGCTATATGGCAGCAGTCTGTAAATAATCTGGTCTGGACAAGAAAATCTAGTGATCAACAGCATGAGCATCGATACGATGACATGGGTCAACCAAGTCAGCGAGCCTGACCACCTGATCCCGTTAGTCGCCTCTTACGACAAGCATGGAAGATCAATTCTACCTGTGATATTCATGGGTCTAACTTGTTGGAAATATAAGGAGTGGTAAAAACTGTTAATGATGTACTCTGAATACAACTCTTGCACCCGTTGCCCACTCTTCGAACATTGTTTCAGGTTAGTTTTTGAGCTATCATGTTTGTTGTATAAGGATGCAATCAGCAGTATTCCAGCTACATAACAGTGACCTGTAAATAAGCAAGTCTAGACCAGAAAACCAATACAGGGGTTGGTATTACAAATGATCCACACCAACATTAATACACTACAAACCTGAGTCACTCAACCCTGCCACCCAAACCATTTGGTCGCCCGAAACAACCAGCATATATTGAGGGGCACCTGTTACACTCTTCAATCGAAGATTACCAGACAGAAACTAAAATCGGCGCTGGTCCTGGTATCCCAGTTGGGATGATAAGAAATGAACACGTGAATTCTGTTCATGTCAACTCACAACAACTTGGACTCATTTGACTTCTCCATGTGTGCGTGCCTCTCGTCAACCTCCTTGGCCAGTAGTGCGGCTCGGGCATTCGACTCCTGCAGATCTAGCTTCAACTTGTCCCGTTCACTCGTCAACGCATCCACACAGGACCTGACAAGAACATAGCCAGAAACATTAAACATGAAAAACAAATACACTGTCCAGGAGCTGTTTGAGAGAACCGAACCTCCACTCAGTACACTTGTAAATTACCACATGCGAGTATGTGTGAGTAGTTTTGTTGTTTGTTTGTTGTTTAACACCACACTCAGCAATATTCCAGCTATATGGCAGCAGTCTGTAAATAATCGAGTCTGGATCAGACAATCTAGTGATCAACAGCATGGGCATTGATCAACGTGATTTGGATGACATGTGCCAACCAAGTCAGCGAGCCTCACCACCCAATCCTGTTAGTCGCCTCTTACTTGCTGAAGACCAAATCTAACCCTCTGTGTGAATAGTATTTTGTAATTTTAGTACTGACTGGACTACCAGGGAATGACACTGCTTCTGTGTGCAGAGTTGCATCTTGAAACTTTGGAATAACCAGTGGTTAAAATATGTCCAATTTCATGAAGGTTCTAGTTTTCAAGACATGAGGTGAAAAATGACACAAAGACACGGACACAGCCACACTCTAACCAACACAGTGCTCTAAACTGCACTTGACTCCTGGTAATTAACTTGATCTGAGTGAGTGAGTGAGTGAGTGAGTGAGTGAGTGAGTGAGTGAGTGAGTGAGTGAGTGAGTGAGTGAGGAGGAGAGGAGGAGAGGAGGAGGGAGGGAGGGAGGAGAGAGGAGGGAGGGAGCGAGCATGGTTTTACTTTTGTTCCAGCAATATCACGGTGGGGACACCAGAAATGGGATTCACAACTCAATCTCAGAGTCCTATAAATGCCTCTTACAAGTTTGCATGACCAAGGACGTCCCATAACCTGGAACTGGGTCTGGAATAATAAGACAAATCAGTAACTTAGCATGCATTCATCAAGGACACCCGCTGACAAGGCTGACCTGAGATGTCTCAGTTCCTGTTGGCACGAGACCAGTGCAGCATGGGAGACATTGTCCAGATTCTCATTGGCTAAAGCCTGCTCCAACGCATACGACAGCTCAGAGAGATTCAGCTTGGTGTCATGGTCAAAGTCAAGGGCCTAGAAAACAAACAGCAGTCAAAGAATCATTATTTGCACGCAATACTATTTCCTGCCTCATGAATAGTGTCTGGCTTTGAGTTTTTACATTCAACCCAAGGGATTCAAGTGCAAGAATATTGTCATATCAAAATAACACATGAAACATATTGATGTTTTGTTTTTTTTGTAAGTACAGCTGCCTAGGTGCATGTATCATAACAAAGTCACAGATTTCGCTTTATGACTAAAGGGAGACAACTCCTTTAGTAATTCATTCCTGTAGTCTTACATGAAATATGAAATCTATATATTAGATAGTTGTTCAAGGTAGAAGAGGAAAATAACATTTGCAAGATCTATTTAGGAGAAGAGAAATGAAGCCTAACATTTCTGACTTTTCTTGTTTAAGTTCAAAAGATAATAACTTTAAACAATAAACATTTTAGAGGCTTACATGGAAGGGATCGTTGTTTCTGTACACAGAACATACCTGGGGTACATATCTGTAGTACCTGCGTCGACAACGACCCCTTCAGCCTTACTTGTCATTTTGTCATATCAATTTCACGGAAGTTCACAACACATTGGGTTGGGCACTCACATTTATTTCACATTAATTTCATAATTTACAATGCATGGGTTTTTTTTACAGCTGAAGAACATTTTTGAAATACATAAACACATTCATTAACATTTGAAATATTTTTTCAAATAAATAACGAAAGAGAACAGCTGACTATCATTTACGTCAGTATCTTTAAGAACAATCTGCTGCAGCAACAACAAACATACCGTGAGAATATCTGCTCCATTCATGATGTTGTGCTTCTCCCAGAGATCTATGACATCTTCTGGTTGGGCAAATCTGCAACAACATATTAACAAGATTAAGAGTGAGTTGGTTTTATGGTGCTTTTAGCAATATTCCAGCAACAATATCATGGCAGGAGACACTAGAACTGGGCTTCACACATTGTACCCGTGGGAAATTGAACCCGGGTCTTCAGTGTGACGAGCGAACACTTTAACCACTAGACTACCCCACGGCCCCAACAAGAACAAGAACATTGTTCCTTGCAGCCAGCTTGTTTCCTCAGTTTTGTCACACTCAGTGTACACAGAAACACAGCAGCTCATAGTATGGATCCTTTGAAGACACTGCAGCTGCTGATCCCCATTTTGGCATGCTAACAAGACAGTCACAAAGTGCAGGGTGTCTACTCTACTCTTGAATAACAAGGGGCAAATTTTAGATGTGTTTGTTCGTTGTCTAACAACCCGATCACCAATATTCCTGTTATACGATGGAGTCCTGCAGGCTGGACCAAACAATCCTGTGATTAATATTGAGAAACAAAGGTGCATGTCACTGAGGTACAATGATATGCAATCGACCAAGTCATTGAGTCTGATGACCCTATTCATTTGGTCGCCTCTTACAACCAGCAATGGTTAGAACAATCATCTACTTGAAATCCCCACATAGTGGTAAACCTTTGAAGACTAATATTCACAGGCCTTATTACCACTAAGTTAAATAATTATTAATGTAAGTGATTAGATCTGGTAAAATGTCAGTCAGCAATATTCAAGCTATAAAACTGGTTTGTATTGAGTTTGGGCCAAACCACTGACCAAAAGCAAGAGCAAATCTATACAATTAGCCAGGACAGATGAGCAGACACCTGATCCCTGTCGGTACTCAAAGCAAGAAGGTGAGGTGAGGTGAGGTGAGTTTTACGCCACACTTAGCAATATTCCAGCTATATGGCGGCGGTCTGTAAATAATCGAATCTGGACCAGACAATCCAGTGATCAGCAGCATGAGCATCGATCTACGCAATTAGAATATAATGACATGTGTCAACCAAGTCAGTGAGCCTGACCACCCGATCCCGTTAGTCACCTCTTACGACAAGCATGGGTTACTGAAGATCAATTCGAACCCAGATCGTCACAGATTTGAGGTGAGGTGAGGTGAAAAGGGGTTGTTGCATAATAAACACTGAGCACAAGGCAGAGTAAGCACAGGTAACATGTTTTAAAGTCTTCTTGCATGACACTGACCAAATAACCATGCAAACACTTTATCCAATGAGCTAGAGAGTAAATCAACAAGAATCCTGAGACTCCGATAACAACTGAAATACCACATACCCGGAGTGCCATGGGTCCAGGGCTGTGAAGAGACCTGTCACTTCCCCGCTTGTCAGGACCAGTGGAGTAACACTCCGCTCGGCAGGAGTGGAACCAAGTCGCAGTTTCCGCTGAGCGGACAAAGATCGGATTGTGGGAGTGCTTACAGGCCTCTGGGACTGCTGGATGCTCCTTGATGGCCGTGGGGAAGGGGTCAGTGATCGGGCGCTGGAGCTCTGGCTGAAACTTTTCAGTAGTTCTTCAAAGCTGACTCGGCCATCATTGTCATTATCAAGCTTCTTGAAGAGCTTCCAGACCTCCTGAAGAAAACATTTCCCTCATTATTTTTCCTTCAATTTTAAATCAGTTATATTTCAGTTAGGACAATCAATTTTACTTAAATTTCCATTACTGCAAGATATTTGAGGAGATATAAACATGACAAAATAAAAAACATACATTGTTAGATTATTTGAGAATAATTACCCTAAATTAAAAAAAATAAATCTGTTTTAAAAAGGACATTACAAAACAACTTTCATAATACAATCAAAAGTATATTTTTTATATTTTTAATAATTAAGTATGAATTTTTATAGGATATGATGCAAATGATTAAAAGAAACAAAACGCACTGGTTCAACGTTTGTTTGTTGTTCAATGCTGTACTCAGAAATATTGCAGTTGTATGGAGGCGGTCTTTAAATAATCGAGTCTCGACCTGACAATCCAGTGATCAACAGCATGAGCATAGATCTACACAACTGGGATATAATGACATGTGTCAACCAAGTCAGTGAGCCTGACCATGCAATCCCGTTAGTCGCCTCTTATGACAAGCATGGGTAGCTGAAGACCAATTCTAACCCTGATGTTCATGGGTACACTGGTTCAACGTAAAAGTTAAAGTTTTCAAAACTGGTAACAACACAACTCACCTCTTCATCCATCTCCATCTCGATGTAGTTGCAGACAGTGCGAAGCTCAGACAGTGTGAGGTAACCATCTTGTCCGACCCCGAGTGTCCGCCACACCTCCAGCAGCTTGTCCTCACCTGACTCCACGTCTGCGTCAGTCATCGTCTGGTTCATCTGACCTGCAATGGAAGTGTCAGGAGGGTTAAACAAAATATTGAAAAGTATTTTACTCATACAAACAAATATTAGCTTAGAGTGACAGGAAAGCACAAAGTGATGCAAGTTTTAGAAGTTCTTGAATGGTATTAAGGAGGGATACAAATAAAATAGAAATTATATTATATAACACAAGGGTTGAAACAGTACTGCTGTTCTTCAAAAGATGTCTTGAATCTTCAGTGATGCCATCATCTATGCCTATTTATATTATTAACTTTTAATCAACTGTTTCCACCTTAGGTATCTTATTGTCAGTTGCTTGTACATATGGTTGAGTGAGTGAATTTAGTTTTACGCCGCACTCAGCAATATTCCAGCTATATGGCGGCGGTTGCTTGTACATATAATCTCTCTGCACCCAGCATACTTTTACACCGTTTTTAGCAATATTCCAGCACTATCATAGCAGAGGACATTTAAATGGGTCTTCAGCGTGACGAGCGAACGCTTTAATCACAAGGCTACCCCACTGCCCCTACGGACAAACAGAGTTTATTCTATATATTCCCACTTCGCACTAAACGCTTGGTGGGGGATAATTATGCTTCCAGAAGCAGTGAGCATCAGTCCAAAATTGCAAACAGATACTCCATGCGGAATCATACCCTACGGGCGTGGATCATCTGTTTGCCTGATCTATGCTTAATCATCTGTGTACGGGACAATAATTTCAAATGACTTATTTTGAGTGCAGATCTTTCAAGCATTCACAGATTAGTCACAAAGATTGCATGCCATGGAATCAGTCAAAGAATGTCATTAAGCATACATTTGAAGAGATCTGGAAATCGGACTTATGACTTATTTAACCTTTCAATCATTTTCAAACCCCTGGGACCAAAAGAATCTAGTGATTGATATGGACAACCATTGGTATAATGACACAATAAACCAGGTCACTAAACATTACCACAAGATCTTATTCACCTCTTGTGACCAGCATAGGATGCTGGTTGACCTTATCTCACAACGATTGGAAGGACATGCACAGATTCTTAAAACATTTAACAAAGATATTAAGGAACGTGTGGCTTCAAAATCATCGCTGTTTACTTCAATTGAGAAAGTTGGCAACATTAAAATGTACACTAGAGAGGATACCAAGACTGACTGACTGACTGAGTTTGGTTTTACGCCGCTTTTAGCAATATTCCAGCAATATCACGGCGTGGGGCACCAGAAATGGGCTTCACTCATTGTGCCCATTTTGGGATTCGAACCCAGGTCTTCGGTGTGACGAGCCAACACTTTAACCACTAGACTACCCCACCGCCCCAGAGGATACCAAGAATACAATTCACAATATAAACATGGGTCCTTCGCATTCCAAGCTAACACTGCTACATCCCCAACAAAGGTGTATTACACATGAGGACATTATCTCATGAACAAACTACTCACTGTAAAATGCTTTTAAAGTTCCAATAAAATATTAAAACTTCCAAAAGTAAAATATCCCAGACATGGTACATGGCCTCCACACCAGACATGAGTGGAGATGTGCTCCAGTCAGGTTGATGTAACCCAAGCCCGCTTGCATAACCCCAGACACAGCCACCCATTATCTAGCCAGTATTGTTTGTGGTGTTACACAACCCAACAATCAGTGGGGCAAGATAGTCAGGAAGCATTATGTCATTCCTGCTTAAATGAGATTATAGTGACATTGTAATTGAGGCAGAACAAGCATTTCTTCCTTTGCACACATTCATGCTCCCACATTCAACTTCCAGCAAAAGGAAGGCATCTGACCATATCTGATCACTTTGACACATTTATCAATGAAAACACTTTTAATTAAATTAACCCCAAATATACTATTTTTCAGATACAGATTAAGCATGTTAACTGGCTGTTTATCAGTTCCTTTGCTCGAACACTGCAAACATAAAGTGTGATCGTTTGATCAGCATTCTTGAAGTTGGTGAGTAAAGAAGACTGACCGACTGACTGACTGAGTTTGGTTTTACGCCGCTTTTAGCAATATTCCAGCAATATCACGGCGGGGGACACCAGAAATGGGCTTCACTCATTGTACCCATGTGGGGATTCGAACCCGGGTCTTCGGCGTGACGAGCCAACGCTTTAACCACTAGACTACCCCACCGCCCTGAGTAAAGAAGAAGATACAACTTCTGAATTATTGTAATAGCAATATGATGTCTGGATTGTAACATTGTCACTCCAGCTTAATAATGTGTTAGGATATACATCAAAACATTCCCCAAAAAAGACAGAAGTAGCTGTCCATAAAATTAAATGGGTTTTTTTTCATGTCTGGTCTGGGAGTATGGTTCACCATTGCTATTAGCAGCATTCCAACAATATCACAGCAAGGGACACCAGAAAGGGGATCCCACATTGTATGCATCTGGGAATCGAACCCAGGTCTTCGGCATAACAAGTGAATGCTTTAACCATTATACTACCCCACCGCCCTTCAGAAACAAAGACGTGGTGATGGCAATCCTGTCTGTAGGGTATACTGCACATGGTTCACTCACATTGCTTGCACTTTACACCTCGCTAATTACCATCTCATTCAGATAATCTCACTTGACAATGACCTACCTTCAGCCTCAAAGGTCTCATCCTGAACCCCACGGGACCGAGGGGCATCTTTCCGTCTTCTTTTGATGTGGAACTCATTGTCCTGCCAAACAAACAACAAAGGTAAGCTTTGAAAGAACAAAACATACAAGTTTATGGACAACAACTTCAGGTTTTTGCAACAGCAGTCTCAGGTCTGGTTTGTAGAATTATCACTCCAGCAGAAAAACAGTGTACGGTGACAAAGGTAAGCTTACAACAAATCGATTAGTTCCTTCATATTGGGCAGATCTCACATGATGCATTGAAATACAAATCTAACAGAGGTTCCAGGTGGCCAATATTGTCACATATTTTGCATTTCAATGTAGAGAGTTGTTGCCCCTTGTTGCCAGGATCTGTTAATTAGGCGGGTTCAATGATGGTTTGTCAGCACCAAACTTGTTGCTCATACAGATGTGACTGACTGACTGACTGACTGAGTTTGGTTTTACGCCGCTTTTTGCAATATTCCAGCAACATCACGACGGGGAACACCAGAAATGGGTTTCACATACAGATGTGACAAACATGTATGACCAGAGTCACTTTAAAAAGTTTTACCGGAATATAATATAAAAATATAACATATCAAAGAAAAGTACTGTATGCAAGAGGTACACCATTTACTGAGAACGGGTGATATCACAAATATATCACGTTACAAGGACAGTATTTCCTCCAACAAAACCCCTGGCACTTGTTCCATGAACAAGAGGGTAATGGATGCCTGGTTGTAGATAGACCTCAATATTTCAGACTAGGTATGGTAAAACAGGACCCTTCATTTCTGATCTTATAAATATTCAGTGGATACTGTAAGTTTATTACTGGTGGAGGCACCTTGGTTCGGGTCCCAAGGTGGTCCCAATCCTTGGGCACATTAGATCCACATTGTCTCAGTTCACCCAGCTGTAAAATCCTTGGAGGAACTGATAGTTTAGATCCAGCAATATTCCAGCAACATCAGTTCACCCAGCCCATGTGGGGATTCGAAATGGCTTTAACCATTAGGAGGATGTCCTGGCAATGTGAGTGTTTAGTTCATTGCACCTAACAGGCAGCATGGCTGTATGATCCTCAGGGAGTTGAAAAAGTATAGGAAAGTATGATAGTGTCCTATGACCGGGGACAGTATTGTACATAGCGGTGTGAGCAGGCAATGTGCCAAGATATGAGCACCATATAAGTGGACTATTACTATAAATCTCACACGTCCAGTGCCCATTAGAGAGCTGGTGCCTGTTAGAGATCCAAGGCTTAATGTCTATGTGGCCCCGATTTCTAAACAAACTTAAGTCTGAGTTTTGACCAAATTTGAGAACTGCATTTTCAGTGCTTATGCAAAGAGACCTGGTGCTTATACAGTACAACCAGAAATTATTGAGAATTTAAGATTGTAATTTTTAATATTTTTTTCACTCATTACTCACTTATTAAATGTGAATATTAGCAGAACATAACTCCAGATTCAAAGACAGGTGAACAGTTAGTATTTTGTCAAGTCACCATCGGCAGCAATGCAGGCTTCAATGCGGCCGGGCATACTACTGATCAAAGAAGTTAGAAAGTCGTGGACCATGCTGTCCCAATATTGGACCACCTCTTCTTTCATTTCAGCAATATTTGTCAGATTTTTCTTATTGACACTTTCCTTCATAAGTCCCTAAACATTTACTATTGGATTTAGGTCAGGGCTATAGCTTGGCCAATCTAATAATGTCATATTTTGGGTCCGAAACCAGGCCTGTGAATGCTTTGAACGATGCTGGTCGCTGTCCTGCTGGAAAAAAAATTTCCATAGAACACATGAGCAGATGGAAGTAAATGTCCCTCGAGAATATCTGTGTACACCTCACTGTTCATATTCCCTTCAAATACACAGAGGGGCATTGCCCCTAACACAGATATGCCACCCCACACGTTAAATTTTGGACTGTACTTTGGGTGCTAACACAAAGGTTTTTCAGTTTGTTGGTTCAAAATTTAAGTGTATTAGGAAACAGCCACACAGAACTTTCATCTGAGAAAATCACATTGTCCCAGTTAAAATTTCTATGCTGTAAGCACCAGTTCAACCGTTGCTCCCTTTGTTCAGGTTTCATTATCGGTGATGGAATTCCTCGACTTTTCTGCCAACCCATTGCATGCAACTCAGTTCTAATTGTCTCCTTACAGACAGCCACAGTTCCTCTATCAATCATATCCAGCCTTATGTTTTCTAAACTCCTTCGTTTGTTTTTAGAAACAAGAATACCAAGCCGCCTCCTGTCACCGACAGTCAATTTTCTGGGCCTACCTGCACCTCCCTGGTGCTCAATGCCCTATCCATTTGCAATATTTTTCAAAACACGATAAACAGTGGACAAAGGGATGACTGTTCTACTTGAAATCACTTTAGCTGATCTGATGTCCTTGTTATAATACTCTAAAATCAACTTCCTCTTCTCTAAATCATCCCTACTGAGGATCACTGAAAATGCTGTGTGCTAGCAAGTAAACAAAGGGGGATAACTCTTCACAAACTAATGAAAAACGATTAACGGAGTTGTCTCTCTTGAATGAAACCAAGCATTTGATAGCTGGTCAAGGTTGTTTATACTAGAAATGCAATTAAACATATACCTAAAATTCTCCATAATTTCTGGTCATACCATAAAAGACCTACTAATTAAGATCTTGTATGCTGTTACATACGCAGTGCTTTATATGAGGCCAGTGCCTAAGAAAGACCCAGCACCTACTATAGTCCGTTTGGCTCAAAATCGGACCGATGAATTGCAATCTAACTCGAAAACTACTAAACATATAATACTCAATGAAACGCTGATCATAATCAAAATATCAGACCAACTCTGTGATATTTTTTCAGAATTAAAATCTTGACATAGTTCACTATTTGTTACAAGGGAAGGGTGCAAAGAGAGAAACAGCCAGGTGTGCAAAAAAGGATGGAGACGGCACAGCACAGGTTAATGAATCAATGACTTTGTCAGCACTTGTGCTCGTGCTTCGCGTACACCTGGCTGTTCCTCTCTTTGCAGTCCTCCATCGTAACAAAAAGTGAACTGTGTCAAAATTTTAAACATTAGTTTGTAAAATAACTATTTTATTTTTAGGTCATAAATTCTACAAAAAATCACAGAGTTGGTCTGATATTATGATTATGATTAGTGTTTCATTGAGTATTCTATGTTTAGTTGTTTTCGAGTTAGATTGCAATTCATTTGTCCGATTTTGAGCCAAACAGACTATAGATAAAGTACACTATATTATATCATATCTATGTTTGATATATTCTTCAAAAACAAATGTCTAAAAGCTAGCCTGGAGCTTTACCAAACATAACCAGTGTCATCTTCACTGATGTGGGATAAAGCACATAAGTACAGAAGCACATGGAACAATAGGTTACTTATATATCCATTCCCTCAGTGGTTTATATGAAATATTAAAGTTACTACATAATCTTTAATTGTTAGAATGTGACACTATTCGCTAGATAAACCCTACATGTTTTTACATGTTCATATAAATGTTTCTTCCAATATTAAGCTGATTCTATATTTCAATGATGAAATTTGTTCTGAATTATTTATAGTGAGTGAGTGAGTGATTATGGTTTTACACCACTTTTAACAGTATTCCAGCAATATCACATTGTGGCACACCATTCTGACAAGCTGACACTTCTACCATTAGATTACCCCATCACCCCCTGAATTACTTAAAACAGAAAGTTGAACTGATTCCAATAATATGGCTGCTGGGGTTGCTGCAGTAAAAGAAGACAAAATATTTATAGTACCTGCATATATATAAACAGAGGCCTGTATATAATGGGCAAACCTGTGACTGAACGTTAATGGTCAATATTTCATAATGTCTGCGTATGATTATATCAATCAGTGACAGAACTGGAACCACCTAGTCTGTTTATATTGTTACTTGTACACTTATCGAGGTATTGACAAAGAGTGACAAACATGACGTATTCGGACCTCCACTGGCCTGACAAACTTACAGTACAGGGGATCTCCTCAGGTCTGATATCCACAGAGGGTACAAACATGAGGTTCTGGGAACCTCAACTGGCCTGGCATCTACACAGACTGACAAACATATGGTACTCTACCCCTTCTCTGCCCTGGTATCCACTGAGGGTCAAACATGAGGTTCTGGGGACCTCAACTGGCCTGGCATCTACACAGACTGACAAACATATGGTACTCTACCCCTTCTCTGCCCTGGTATCCACTGAGGGTGACAAACAAGAGGTATATAGAACACTCTGATATATATTAACCCAGTACAAACAAACAGTATCCTTAAACATAGGATAGGTTCTGCTGAGAATGAAGTACAACCTGTGAGCTCAGATAGAGAATTAGAAGTTCAGTTAAGGTAGATCATGTAATTGGACTATTATATCATCTCCGGTTTAAGGAAATAATCCTGATTTGGTATTTTGGTATGTGTGTTGTTACATCTATTTTCTGACCGCCTCTCAAGAGCGTCCGCCCGGAAGGCGCGAGGTTCAAGCCGCATCATAACCAAAAAGACGTTAAAATATGGTACTTGTTGGTCCCTGCCTGGCGCTCGGCATTAATGGGTACAAGGACTCGTCGGCTCAGAGTCAGTATAATGTGTCGGAGTGGGGTATTCAGGCTTCACTCCGGCATGGTATCTCAGTGGGCTAGCACTATAAAACCAGCTTCAGTCTGGGCTGTACAAGCTGAACATGAGTGTTATGATACAAAACGCCGTCATATGAGCGAAATATTCTCAAGCAAGACGTTAAACCCAATGTTTAGAAACAGACAATAATATCAGTATTGATTCCTACAATTAATATTGACTCAACAACGTGTAAATACAACACATGCACTGAGAAATCTGGTACATTAGGGATACATACGGAGCCACGTGAGACTTTCTTCATTTTACGATACATTTTAAAGTAATTTCCAACACCAGGAATGTGTCAGCATTGATTATTGTTCACAGTTCGGCCTTCAGCTGTTGTCATATGTTTGTTGTTTATTGATTGCTCCACCACGGATG